CTGAGTTATGGAGAGTCAATGGAAAACTGAAAGAAAAATGAGTATCCTTGGACTATGTCACATAGTGATATATTCTCAAAAATTTATCTTGTACATAAAATGCCCTCAGAAGGAAAGTTTTTCTAATATAATGAGCAAAGACAAATGATGAGAACATTAACAGTACATTGTTTTGACTCTCTTCTAAGTCACTATTTAACTCAAAGAAGGAATAAAGAAAGTTTGGGGATTGAATTGAACATATTGATTATATGCTCCCTGAAGGCAGGGAGGCCTCATTTGTCCAATGGCTAGCATAATGCCTACCACATAGTACGTGCTCAACAGTAGCTGAATAGATGGATAAGAGCATGAATGAACCCAGTTGCATACATCCTGAATGTGATCCTATTTGTAAGATACATTGTTTACAATTCTGCTTTTATTCTTTTATCTTAATGAATGTAGACATGTTTATAAAACCTTACATAGATTTATTCTTCATCCCTTTTCCCTAAACTTGTGTTTCCATGAGCTATTAAATTCCCCAAACGAGTGATTTCCTGTCTATAGCAATCTAACCTGTTATTGGGAAGGGACTACTGTGAATTGATGAGTTCCCCAGACTAATCTGTGAAAGCCTGTTTATTCCAAAGGGTAGACAATTATAGTACCAGTAGTACTATGTTAGGTCTACCCCAGCCCAGGTGGCTCTCTCTTTAAATACATGCATAATTTTGTGTTCTAAAATTGCTTGCTTATTCACCTTCTCCAATTAAAATTCTCATCTCTAGTACTGGTATTAATTATGCTAGATCCTACTTTGAATATATTGATCCATTCTAAAGATATATTTAAAACTGGATTCTTTGATGTAATTTACAAAGGCAATACTTGCTAAATCTAGTCAATCTCTAATTAGTTGCATTTTAGACAACTAAATATCACCTCAGAGGTAATATAGTAAGTGTAAATATTTACATGATGTAAGGGAAAATATAGGAGAAGCTGACTGACTGAGCTATCAGAATAGATTCCTATTTTTGTAACTCCTTTTCTCAGTTCATTGTGGTGACCAGGGCAGAGTAGACACCAAGACTGGAGAAGTGGAATTAGCTTGAGATGATCCTTTAGGGGAAAAGATTAAGTGTCAGATCAATGTAAAGTGTGACAACATGCAATAACTATGCTTTTTTTCCTTTTAAAACAGACCAGCTCATTACCTGTGGTGATGATTTCCAATGTCAGTCAGTTACCTAATGCTTGGGCATCCATCATTTGGTATAATGTGTCAACCAACGATTCTCAGGTAGTCTCTAATCCTTTTTCTCTTTATTGCACCGTATTTGATTTGTTTTATTGTTAACAAAACTCATTTGCATTGAAACACACCCCCGCTAATTTCACATGTCTTTATGGGTTCTTTTATTCCAGAATTCCAATCTTTTAGTTGCATGATTCCTCTCTCATGTCATATTCAAAGTAATATGTGTTGATGAACTTGGACTCTAAGGGAGTGCTGGCTAACTAGACAGGTATTTGTTATTTCTGAGGGTCTGGTCTGCTCCCAGCTCTGTGGATCAAGAGCGTTCTGGAGCCATTCTGTGGCCGGCCTATGGCAGAGTCCTTGCCCTGGAATTCAGTGCCTGATTGTTGTGTTTACCTTCTCAGCTACACCTGGCCATATTTCCCACACAGGTTCTTTTACAAAGGTGAAGACTTGGCTTCCAAATAAGTGACCAGAACATCATCAATCTTGCCTAACTACACTCTGACAATTACAGTACCAACAGTACTGTAATGTACACATTTTTTGAGTTGACTATAAATTTAATCCATTCTAGGCTCAAGTTGGGTTTTAATGCCATCTGGTGGTTATTTAAGACACAAGCCAAAAATTGGCTTCAAATCACAAAGCAAGCAGAGAACAGATGTTCTTAAAAGACAACCAGGGAAGGAAGTGGCAAAAGGGATGAATCAGCACTTCCCCTTTTTCTCTCCTACAAAACCTCAGTGTGTTGTCCTGGGAAATCGCCCAGGTCTAGAGAAAATAGGCAAGGTGAAAATAACAGTATTTCTCTTGAATTTAAAGCAAATGTTCCCTCCAAAGGAAAGAATTTTTTAAAACTTGAATCCTAACCATGAGAACAGACATAATGAATCAGCTTTAAATATGATTTCCTTCTTATTCGATATTTCTAGTAAGTTAATAGCCTGGGAATAGCTCAGTCCTACACCTTCTCATCCACAAGTGCCCTGGCATCTGAGACAGGTTAGCCACAGAGAGGAAGACTATATGGAATTCACTACACCTACTCCTCTCTGCCCACAAAGAAGTCATTTGGTCTTTAGGGCCAGGAAAAGCCAACACCCCTGAGACAGATTAAATGTCATTCCCTTTTAGGAATTACACATGTAGAGCTTTTCCTCCAACTCCAGGGTCTGGTCTGGAGACAGGCTATTTCTCTGTACCTCTGTCCGGAGTACAATGCAGCCTTACTTAGTTTTCTTTTTTTTTTTAAGATTTATTTATTTATTATTTATACAAGCACTGGGTACAGTCAGAAGCATGGGAGGGTGAGAGAATTCACTAGAGCCAGAGTGGGGAGCAGAGCAGGCAGAAGGACCAAAGTACACTGCTGAGGGGAGCAGCGGGTGGCAGGAGAGGTCTGCGCGCCATGTGGGACCCTCCTCTGGTGGCCGCGGAGCAGCCGGGGATCGAACCAGCCGGGGATCGAACCAGAGCTGCCAAGGCTGCGGGCAGCTTCGCAACCCAGCGCTCAACCGCTGCGCCACCAGGGAGGCCCATACTTAGTTTTCTTAAGCATCCTTCTTCTGTAAAAAAAAAAAGTCACCAAAGTTGTCACACTAACTTTCCAGATTGTACTCTGCTCCAGGAAGAGGAATCTGGAGATGTAGCTCAGAAATAGCTCCTAAAACATAATGTATGGCCTACTTACAGAGTCAGCTTAAAACTAACTCTAATTTCTCTTCTTAATTCTATTCTGCTTCGAAACCTAAGCTCCCAGAGTTTGATTTACAGTCTATGGTTTTTTGGGTCATTTATCTAAATGTGATTCTCAGGTCCAAGGTAAACTACCTCCCTAGAAACTCTCTCCATCCTCCCCTTGCTATCGTCCATGTTCTGTCCTAGCTGGATGTTCTGTCCTGTATTCCTTCCTTCTGAATTGGTTCCTTCTTTTGCTGCCAGCTTAGCTCAGGTTCACCAGTGACCTTCTCCATGTACTATACCAGATTTCTCATTTCTTCCCTTCCTTTTCAGGGATTTTTTTTTCTTTTAAGTTAAGTTACTTCTATTGAGGTAATGTTTAATGTATAATACTGTATATGATTTAGGAGTACAGGTTCAAAACTCTTCAATGTATGTGATCACACCATGCCCACCACAAAAGCATCAATAACTCTCTACCAACGTCCATTGGGCTGTCTTCCCACTTTACTCCAAACCTCCCACTCTGCCCTTCTCATAGCCTCAATTCTTTTTTTTTTTTTTTTAAGATTTATTTATACAAGCACGGGGTACAGTCAGAAGCGTGGGAGGGTGAGAGAATTCACCAGAGCCAGAGCGGGGAGCAGAACAGGCAGAAGGACCGAAGTACACTGCTGAGGGGAGCAGCAGGCATGGCAGGAGAGGTCTGCGCGCCATGTGGGACCCTCACCCAGTGGTCAGGGATCAAACAGGCGCTGCAGAGGCTGCGGGCAGCTTCGCAACCCAACGTTCAATTGCTGCGCCACCGGGGAGGCCCTCATAGCCTTAATTCTTTAGTCAGATTCCAAGGGTTGTTTTTGGTTTAGTACTGTCTGTTCCTTTGCCTTTTTTCATGAAATCATCCAGTATTTGTCTTTCTCTTTCTGACTTATTTCACTTCACATGATCTCCTTCAGCTCCATTCATGTCACAAATGGCAAGATTTCTTTTTATAGGTGAGTATTCCATTGTGTACACACCACATCTTGATCCACTCATCTGTTGTTGGGCAATTAGGTTGCTTCCATTATTTGCCTATTGTAAATAGTTCTGCAATAAACAGGAGTGCATCTATCCCTTTGAATTAGTGTTTTTGCATTCTTCAGGAAAATACCAAGGAGTAGAAATGCTGGATGATATGGTAAATCTACTTCTAACATTTTGAGGGAACTCCACACTGTTTTCCATAGGGGCTGACCCCATCTGCGTTCCCACAAATAGTATATGAAGGTTCTTTTCCCTCCACACCCTCACCAACAGATGTTGCTTCTATATTTTTTTTTTTTCATATAAGCCATTCTCACAGGTGGTATCTCATTGTGGTTTTGATTTGCATTTCCCTGATAAGTGATATTGAACATTTTGGAGCATCTTTCTTGATTTTCGCACCTTTTGCTTTCCAGTAATCTGTGATAAAGATCTACTGTTACACTATTCCTGACCCAATTTGTGTTACAATCTCATTACAGCTGATCATACAGAAGATTATGTTGTTGAGAGCAAAATCAGAACAAAGTGGTATACTGTCTATAAAACAGGAACCCAAGTTAATCATGAATTCATATTATCTTAATCTGGGAATTAGCTACTCTTGTGCTTTGGGATGTTTTATCTGACCAAGGCATAATTTGTGCCAATCCATGGCAAACCAATTAAATAATAAGATATAAATTTTGTTTAAGATTAATGTTATTTACAGGGCCTCCCCGGTGGCGCAGCGGTTGAGCGCTGGGTTGCGAGGCTGCCCGCGACCTCTGCGGTGCTGGTTCGATCCCCAGCTGCTCCCCAGCCACCAGAGGAGGGTCCCACATGGCACGCAGACCTCTCCTGCCGCCTGCTGCTCCCCTCAGCAGTGTACTTCGGTCCTTCTGCCTGCTCTGCTCCCTGCTCTGGCTCTGGTGAATTCTCTCACCCTCCCGCACTTCTGACTGTACCCAGTGCATGTATAAACAAACAAACAAACAAATAAATAAATAAATAAAAACATGCCTTAAAAAAAAAAAAGATTAATGTTATTTATAAAAGAGTACAAGTCTGATTACTTTTTCCAGCTTTATTGAGATATAGTTGACATGTAATATTGTGAAAGTTTAAGATACTGGTATTGATAGTCTAGAGAAAGTTAAAGAGATATTCAGAGTTTCCTTCAAGGATAAGGTGGGGCCCTGTATTATATTAATCTCAACAAACAAGGAACTCTTTAAGAATAAACAAAAACAGTTTTGAAAAGCACAGCAGAGGTGAAATTATTTTCTGTGTTGTCGATTTAGCTTGGCCTAGTAAGTTTAAATCAGGAATGTAATAATCCATCATGGTGTTTTCAGAGTGAGTAATAAATATAATTATCATTACAACTCTATTTCAGAACTTGGTTTTCTTTAATAATCCTCCATCTGCTACTTTGAGTCAACTCCTAGAAGTGATGAGCTGGCAGTTTTCATCTTATGTGGGTCGGGGCCTTAATTCAGATCAACTCAATATGCTGGCAGAGAAGCTCACAGGTGAGAGCTGGGTGATATGGAGGCCCTGCCTCTGTTTTTGGTACTTGAGTGTTTTAAAGAACCAGGTGATATAACCATTATTAATAATATCAGTGGTCATCACAATTTATTAAGTGACTATATTACCAGATACATGCCTAAATGCTACATCATCTTTAAGTCTCACAGGTTCTTTAGGCAGAACAGTCTCCATTTTATAAATGAGGATGATGTGATGAGGATACTTCAGTTGTTATAACTGTTATTAAGTGACTTGCAACAGCTGCATGGCTAGTACAAAGCAGAGTTAAGACTCAGGCGAGACCTGGCCAGTTCTAAAGTCCCCTTTTTCCCACTCCATACTCCAGTATCCAGGGTGTTCTTGTATCATTTCCACTGAATGTAATATGAAGCCTTAATAGTGCCTTGATCATTCATATTAATATCATAATGCTCATCAACCAACTGGAAAATAGCTGACTCCTTCACAAAAACCAAGAAATTTAATAAAAACTTAAAATCACCCAGGTAATACTTAATTTTGCATAGCAAGACTGTTTCATCTTTGACTGATATTTTTAAAGTTTGCAAAATTGTGTCATTGGAACTCCTGGTAGTGACTATAGTTTTTCCTAAAAGAATTCTTAAAAGATATCTGTATTTTGACAAGTCTGGGTGAACACATTTAGCACCAAAAAAGCAGAGGGAAAATGAGTTTGTGTACATTTCCAGTTAAGTCAGAAGAACCAATGATGTATCTATGCAGCAAACTATAATAACAGTACTTAATAAATATTTAATAGGTGAATCAAGCTTTTAAATGTGTTGTATAGATAGTAGCCATATCCTTCATATCCTTTCAGATTTTTAACAAATTATTCTTTTTAATAAAATTATGAGTATAATTTTCTTAAAATTTTAGAAACTCTTGAATCCTTTCACTGCCCTGGATTAAAAATAATGGCTTCTTATTACCTAATGTATCTCTAGGTCATACTTTTAATCATAACAGTGAAGACTGCTGGTAACGTTTTATAATGTTTGTTCACCAACCATAGACTGTTCTTCCTGTCTCCTACTTAAGTCAATTTCATGTCCACCATAAATCTTCCTACATTATTTTTGCTACTAGAGTGACCTCCTTCCTCTCTTCTGACAATTTACATTCTACCCTTTCCTAGGGCCTGTTCCTTAACTTAAACTGGCCCTCTTTATATCTTTAGCTCTTCCTTTTAAAAGAATTCTTTCCCATATAATAAATTTCATATCTTATATTTTTACTGTTCAAATATTAAATAACCTATAATCAGCATGCTCAAGAAGTGCATGTATGAGTGGGGGGAGAAGAGAATCTAAATTGAGTACCAAATGGAACAATCATCTAATTGTTTAATAAAAAGCTCATTGTTTTATTTTATTTCAGCCCAGTCTAGCTACAATGATGGTCATCTCACCTGGGCAAAGTTCTGCAAGGTACAAACAGTGGAGAGGGGAATATCATTTTAATCATCACTTTTAAAAAATAGTATCCCTTTCTAAATTTCCACAGAATAATCCAGAATTTTGAGGATTTCCTGGATTGGGGTTTTTTTGTTTTTTTTTTTTTTTAAGAAATTCTAAAGTCTTGTTTCATTTAAAAGAAAATATTTTCTTAAAAAATGAAACTTGAATTATTGTCACCATTACTGTTGAAATGATCACGGTCCTAATGTGTTTATTTGATAGGAACACTTACCTGGTAAATCATTTACCTTTTGGACATGGCTTGAAGCAATATTAGATCTAATTAAGAAACATATTCTTCCCCTTTGGATTGACGGGTGAGTTATAGATTATCTTTTCCATTAGGTCATTAGATTTTTGTATTTTTGCTGTTGGTTTGTGATTGGGTTTTTTGCTTGTTTGTTTGTTTGCTTGCTTTTTTGTCTTATTTTTAAGCATATTTAGTGTGTGTGGTGGTGGGGGAAATAGTTGTAGTTTCTTGCATTTTTCGTAGAGTGAGGATATTTAATCTGTAAAAGACTATCTCAGGCACCACTGACTTTTGACTATACTAAAAACAAATTTAGCTCTTTTCTTTGCAAATGAACTAAACATGAACGCAATAAATTACTGTCATGAGTAGATAAAACTATGCCTTGTTCTGTTTTTAGGTATGTCATGGGTTTTGTTAGCAAAGAGAAGGAACGACTCTTGCTGAAGGACAAAATGCCTGGAACCTTTTTGTTGAGATTCAGTGAAAGCCATCTTGGAGGAATAACTTTCACTTGGGTAGACCATTCAGAAAATGGTACATGCTCACTACTATTTATTCATGTGACTGCAAGATTCTTGAGTTTGGTTATTAGTATCTCAGTTTTCAGAAGTATGTGGTATGATGTTTTCTTCTGATTTTCACGTGTTCAGTGGGTTTGAATATTAGTTGTTACAATGATCCCAGAACAGGGCTATGAATTTCTCACAGTCTGTGTGGGTGTCCTCCATCATGTGACAATCTGCTGAGAAGGGCTGCATTGTTTATAACCAGCGACATGAAGGTAGTGTGGGCAGGAAGAAAGGCCACAAAGAATGCCTGCAGGAACCTGAATACTCCCCACTTCCTGTTTTTCCAGGAGAAGTAAGATTCCACTCTGTAGAACCCTACAATAAAGGTCGGTTGTCTGCTCTGCCCTTCGCTGACATCCTTCGAGACTACAAGGTTATCATGGCAGAAAACATTCCTGAAAACCCTCTGAAGTATCTGTATCCTGACATTCCCAAAGACAAAGCCTTTGGTAAACACTACAGCTCTCAGCCATGCGAAGGTTAAGTTCCTTATATTTACTTGTTTCCTTAAGGTTTTTGGAAAATAACCTCATATTGCAGCAAATGAAGTTTTTCTTTTTATGTTTACTTGGTTGCTTATAAGATCTCAGGGGCCTGTGGAGGTCAAAGCCTTAGAAATAAAGTGGTGTAGTAGCAGCTCTGGAAGAAGGCCCAGTGGGGCTGTCCAGCTGTAGCAGAGTGGTTAGTAATGATTACTGCAGCCAGCAGCCGGTCTTGGCCGCGGGGCCCCTCACAGTCAATTGTAAAGCTCTGGTTTTCTCCCTAGTGAGTTGGAGTGCTGCTCACTTCACGTCTATGACAGGGGAGTAGGGGGAGAAAAAGAGGAAGGATGTAACAATTAGAGAGTCATTAAAAGTTAAATCTATTTTTTGCAAGAGAAGCCCAGGATTTATTATTCCTTTTTTTACCTTACAATCTCACAACTCACACAGTATTGTTCATTTGCCAGAGAGGAAACTTGGGGGTCTGTGCAACATCTCCCACCTCCCAGCCTATCAATAACAATTCATGACATGCCTGCCTTTCCTGGTCGTATCCCAAGGACCTAAAATAGTACCTGGCCAAAACAGGCATTGGCAAATATCTGTTGAATACATGAGAGAACATTCATGAAATTAGCTATTAATATTGTAATTTTAGGTAAGGCCACCATTTTGTTTCCTTCATGAAAGTACAATCTATAAAAATTTCCACCTACAGCAACTAAATCTATGAGCACCATCTTGTGACATATCCTGCAGGTATCACTCACAGGTGGTGGCACTGGCTGCCACTCAACTTCATCCCCCTCTGAAATGTGTGAACAAAACCACAAAAGTAGACAACAAAATGCTGTGGCTTTTAAGTGTATCCACATCCAATTGAACGAAATAGCAAATGTTAATGCAAATTAGAGTTGAAAAATTAGTTTGTCCAAATCGCAACTGGTCCAAGCACAAGTTCAATACAGCTCCCACAGCACCTTGGGGAATGGTCCAGGGTGAGAGTGACTCATGACTATTAGCACTTTTAGTAACACTGTCTGTGTTTCAAAATTGTGTATAATCATAAGATAATGATTGTTATCAGTTTTAATGAAAAGAACTGAGTTACTGTAAATCTCCCAGCACATGAAAAAAAAATGAGTTTTTATAATCCAACTTAAATTTAACATGAAGACAGATAATATAGTTGATTCCCAACTTTTCTCATGCATTTTATAGATATTAACATGTAAAGTCAGATTAGGTCTACCAAGAGATTTGTTTTCTCTTCTTGCATGTTTTATGCGCATCTAAAATACTGATTTTTTATTCAACTAAATTAACTAGTTGACTTATTTAACTTAAAATGTTTATGAATTACTAAACCATGATATTGTCTCTTCTTTTTAGCATTGCTTCTATTTTCCTAGGTAATTCTTCTCATTTTACTAATAACATTAATAACATTTTCCCAACATTGTGCATTTCTTTTCTAGTTACAAGACCAACAGAAAGAGGAGACAAAGGTTATGTTCCTTCTGTTTTTATCCCCATCTCAACAATGTGAGTAATCTTAGTCACATGGAAAATATTGAATTTATTTTTTTTTGAAAAGGTGTTTTTCAGTAGGACTTTTAGGGGTAGGGCAGAGTACATACAACCAAGAATAAAGCATTTCAATGCTCAATGTTTCATTTCCTTTAATGCATAAAGCTGGTCTTCAGGAGACACCAGGGTCCACTGTGACTGCTAAGTTGCCCTTTGGTAAGCAGGCTTGATGCTCTGAGAGCAAGTATAATCTAGGCATCTCAGTGTCACAAATAGATGAAGCCCTTGACATGAGTTCCTACCATGGTAACCATTAGCTATTACTGTTTAATCATTTTTAATATTTACCTTATCTTTTTAAGCCGAAGCGATTCAGCTGAGCCTCATTCTCCATCAGACCTTCTTCCCATGTCTCCAAGTGTTTATGCAGTGCTGAGAGAAAACCTGAGTCCCACAACAATCGAAACTGCAGTATGTTCTTTTTCCATTGTTGGTCAAGAGCATTTCTAATAAAGTGAAGGTGTGGTGAATCAAAGGGGCTGAAGTTCTGCCCGGGCAGTGAGAAAATACATTTCTTGCAACATATTCTTGAGCATGAGATACGGGGTGTCCTCTGTGTTATTGGCATTATGGACACTGAAAGCAGAAGACTTCATCTACTTGAACTGTTTTAATTTCTTTCTATCAAAACTCACCAGAGGTCAAAATATTCCTGTATCCCACTATTTCCCATCACGCTCCCCATTTTATCAGGCAATGCATATTAATATTTATAAGCATATTAATATTTAACATTCACTTTAGCATTTCAAGACCACAACTTCCAATTTTTCTTAATTAATTTTCACTTGCATTATTTGTCCCAGGCACCTTTTCAAGTAGTTTATAAAAGACAATCAATAGCTACCTACTACTCTTCTAAAAACTGAGTCATAATCTTAAACACTATAAAGTGATTTAGGATGCATTCTATCCCTTCTCATTCCCCAATGCCATCAAGGTGGTCAAAACCCAATTTACGTAAGAATGAATAACATATATCAGAATAATCGAATCTTGGAGGGACCCTGGCTCGTCCAATGGTTTGCAGTCCTTCTTTTCAAGATTTTTAGATGTGGAATATTCTACTTTGATAGCTTACTTCAATGTTAGTTGTCCTTAAATCCTTTAATTATGACAACTTTTGCTATATTTTATACCCATTTCATTATGTTTGTGATAGGGTAAATAGGCCTACTTAACACAGTTTTCATCGAATTAAAAGTGCCATTTACTTAAAACAGATTACTTTTAGGAACACTTAGGTACTGGCTGGTATAAAGATTATGCAGTATTAAGCAGACAAGAGAATTTTTACTGAAGAAATTGTGACTTACTTGCAAAACAATGCTTTCCTCAAAGGTCATTTTCATTTTTCAATTTTAGATGAAGTCTCCATATTCTGCTGAATAACAGGATGAAATCTTGACATTCAAAAGAAGGAAGCAAAAAAAAATGTTCAAAGACTGATCTTTGCCAACAATCACATCTTATTTCTTCACTTTTGTTGATACCATTTTCCGGGAAATGGCTGAAGTCTGAAGTTCTCCCTGCCATCACACCCCAGATCCCCTTCCACTGGGAGTGTTAGGATTTCAATGCTAAAACCAAAGCTTCGGATGAACTTGCAGAATAAGACACTTTAAGAAACCAGTATCAATATAACATTGACAAAAGACTCACGTTTTCGTTATTTCTGATTTCGTTTCTTAGGATTTTCCTCAAGTGTTATTAGGATATTGACTCTAGAAAGTTTAAGTGTTAATATTTCAGAATAGGCCAAGAATAACAAAAGCACACTTAACATTACTCAAAAACCAGCAGGAAGGCCTGGGGGAAATATTAAATAAGCCAATATCCTGAGTTTCAGCAGGTCTAGAGTCACCACACAGGAAACAAGATAGATGCCACGACAGGCAGCCCAGCAGCATTTCACAGGCTTTCCTGGAATGACTCATGATTCCCACGTTAACATTGTCCCAAAAGAGCTTCACAGCAGCCGGTACCACTGTCACGGACACCTCTCCTGTCGGGGGGAAGATTTATCTAGAATCATTCCTGGTGGTAACTCTGGCTAGCAGCACTGAAAGCAAACACATGGGTAAAAATATGAAATGAGGACTGGTAGAAGGATGACAACACTGACCTTCAGCAAGGTCAGTGAGGAAAGTCAAGTTGCACGTTCCTCATCTCTAGAAGAGGTTGCTGTATGACAAAGAGGTTCCTGCTATAATAGTCTCTGTTCTCATAAGTCTATCCCTGAGGAGAGGGATTTAGGAGAAATTCCATCTCTTCAGTATTTTCTGGTGCTGAAGGAGGGCAGGTAACATACTGTTGGTAATGCTCAAATAGGAGATCTATTTTGATCCTCACTTCTCCCCATCTGGATGTTTAGTGGTGCCATCACCCAGCTGCTGCTTTAATAATAGTGTAAGAATACCCAGCAGCTCTCTATGTCTGCCAGGCTCTAGGAAAGCTTCTGAGCCAAGTAAGGAAGTCCCAATACCAAAGCATCTGCTGCGACCAGTTGCAGAAAACCCCAAAGGCAGTTTGCAAGGTTCCCCTGTTTGCAGATCCAGAAATGACACTCCTTTCTGGAGGACTCCTTTCTAACTGCTCACACCTGTCTCCTGTACCCCAGGAAAGCCGAACAGGCAGGGGCTAATATTTGATGGGGAAAATTTAAAGAAGAAAAAATTTAAGAAAATCTGCCTTCTTCCTTGGAAAATCCTACCCACTGCACCTTTTATATTCACCCACATTCATCCCACTGGATCCTAGTTTGTTCCTATTGCCTCTTCCCCAATGTCAGTTCCCTTACACCTTTACAAGCTCCTGATGGCGCTCTTCACATAAAGGTGTCTGTCTGGCAGAGGCCATGGGACTGACTCAAGACACATTCTCCCAGTCTTAACTTGACTCCACAAGTCCAATTTTCTGAAATTTGCCTATGACAAATATATTAATTGACACAGACTTGGAGGAATTAATTTTAAGCCTAGTTTAAAATTATATATTCTGATTGCTATTTTGAATTATTACATGATTATTACAATTTTACCTTTAATGAGGTCATTTTCTACTAGAATAACTCTTAACCAATTGGATTTTGATATTAGAAAAAAGTTACAGAAGCTTTTTATTCCCTGGAAAAGTGTGATGGGCTTTTACTTATTCAGCAGTTTTTAAAACTTGTCAGTGTAGAGGCTGGTATCAGAATGCTAAGGTTTCACATGTGGCCATAGACATCATTATTACTCCAGGTAGAAAATACAGGAACATCTGTAGTTTGCTCCTATAATAGAGAGTCCGTATAATAAGAGTTTAATAAGCTGTGATTATTACATTCAGAATATCAAAGTCAAGGTCTTGATTCCATTGTAAATAGTTATTTCCCAAGGATGTGAATCTTATACTCTGAAAATCATCTTTGTGGGAATAATGGGTTTTGTCTAGGGATGTCTGGGGATACATGTTTATTCTAGGGTAAGGTGTGCCACAGAAGATGGGAATAAATTTCCACCAACTCCTGCCCCAGAACAATTTTTTCCCTACCAACTGGTAGCAATACTCAATATTTAAACAAAATGTAGATTTATTTTCAAAATATTAATCACATTTTCACGTCTCTCACCTATTCCAAACTAATGACATGTCCATTTTGCTAAACTTTTTTCAAATCCTTTTAATGTAAAGAATCAATTTTAAACAAGGGAGCGGTGTTATAACTTGTTTCTTCATTATACCTAAATTTTCATCTGTTTTAAATAAACACCTAACATGGTTTCTGCAGAAGATATTTCCCAACCTCCCCTTCAGGGAATTCATGGGTGTGCTACCTACCTGTGTACACCCACGAGTCTTCCAAGAAGAGGGCTCAGCGCTTGGTTTAACACTGCTCGCCTTCTGGACATTCTTAATGAGTTGAATAAGGAGCTGCTATTTTCCTTATGCACTGGTCCCTGCAAATGATAATAGGCGGTGCTGTCCTCTCCTTCGAACTAGGGGGAGACTTGATGTCCTTCTGGAGATCCTAGGTTGGTCCCTAGGTATTAGTAAAGCTTTTTAAGAGTAGTTGAAGGGAGCCCAAAGAAACCCAGTCCCTGTCTCCCAGAAGCACCCACTGGTCTACACAGACAGCAGGCAGGGTCCAACTATATTTTTGCTGAGTCTTTGGAAATTATGTGACTACACCATTGTCCTCCATAATGCTTCTCTCAAACTCCTGGCATAATCACTGCAAGGGAGAAGGCAGGGTCGACAGAAGACCCCAAAAGAAAGAAGAAAGCCCCCTAAGCAGATCTAACCAAAAGGTAATTGAAACAGCCCCACCTTCATTTCTGATTTAAGGTAGTCACCCCAGGTGGGGGAGAGTCAGGGCTTGCAAAACCAGGAAGGTCTGACTTAGGACTGCTCACATTGTGTGAAGAAGTGGAGGAAGATAAGGGGACTTTTCCAGATTCAGGGAAAAAGCAGGAGGAGGACCCAGGAGGAGTCAGCTTTCTAGCAACTTCAGCATTTTAAGAAATGTTGCCGACCCCTTAGATGGACGCGCATCCAGCCCTGCCTCCGCCTGGGATGCTCTTTGGAGCCCGCGCTCCCCGCTACCCAGCTGCGAGCGGCCCGGGGCCGGCCGGTCCGGAGGGGTCCCCTGCCCCCCGCCCCCGGAGAGGCTCCCCCGCCCGCTGCGAGGCTCGGAACCGCAGGCGGACCGGGCCGGTCTTCCGCGGGAAAGCCCCGGGCCGCGCCTGCGTGCTGCCGCCTCGGAGTCTGACTTTCGCTTTTCGGTTTCCTCTCAACGCGGCTCCTTCTCGCTCGGCGCTGGTTTCCCCGAAAGCACGTGGGCCGGCTCTTCTGGGCACCCGCGTGCCTCCCGCCGCGCACCCCGACGGCTGCTCGGGAAGCTTTCCAAGTGGGGCTCGCCGCCCGCGCCCGGGCTCCCCGCCCCGGGCAGCCTGGGCTGCCCTGCTGAAAGCACCGGGCTTCGGAAAGTGCTCGCGAGGATGCGCGGGTTCCTGCTGCATAGAGACATAGGGGAGGGGGGGTTGGAGAAGAAAATCTTTTTCCCACCCCCCCTCTTCTTCACCCCCCCCCCTTTCTCTTTCTCTGTTTCATTTTAGTGACATTTCTGTATATCCTTACAGTAATAGGGCAATACTACTTTACATTTTACATTTTCGTATCATTTTATGCTTGGGTATTTTCCAATGCCACACAACTGTCTTTGAAAGCATAGCTTAGGTGTTGTACCATTCGACCAGCCAGAGAACTGCAAGGAATTTTAGAAGTCTTTTATTTTAATTACATTTTATTACAGATTAACAAATATGGCTTATACTGATTAAGTGTAATTCTTACTAATAGTTATTTAGGTTTAATGTGTCTAAAATACATTATGGTTGCTGGAGAGGGGATATCTTTAAATAGAGTACTATAGATTTTTGTTATCAGAATTGTAGCTGTCCTTTTGAAACACAGGAAAGGTGTGAAGACAGAACACAAGGCTAGTAGGTGTTTCAGAGGGATGTGGAAAAGACATACAGGATAGGGTATTACCAGAGAAAATCAAGGTGGTGGAGGGCAACAGGCAATACATCACTTGAGAAATTTGTTTCTCCCATAAAAACTGTATCTGTGATTGATTGCTGCAATAACAACCCAAACTACCCCCAAACTTAGTGGGGTATCATTGCTTGTGAGCCCAGGGTAGGCTACCAGCTCTGCCCATCAGGGGCAGGCTATGTGATCTGGCCTCATCTCTCACATATCTGAGGCCTAAGTCCTGACAGCTGAACAAATCAGCTATGGTTTGTGTGCCCTGTCATCCAGTGGATGGTGGCAGGGCAGGGTTCTAGGGGTGACTGTGTACGGTCCCTAGGTTCAGAATGACACAATGTCACATCTGCTGTAGAATATTAATCAAAACAAGTCAAGCCAAGGACATATTCAAGGGGTGGGGCTATAGTCCCCAACTCCTTCTGGAAGGAGTTACAGAGTCACATTGAAAAGGAGTATAGATACAGAGAAAGGGATAACATTATTAAAAACAATGTTGCAGAAAATCCTTATTTCTTATCATGTGAATTATGTAATTGATAATGTCTATCATTTTGCCTTGGCTTGTGGGCTGCATTATGTTCTTTATAGTTCTAGTTATCGTAAATATAATTAAATAAACACAACAGGGTTGTTGGAGACTAAGAGAAGAGAAGAGGGAATAGTACTGTCTCCTTTTTTCCAAGAGAAAATAAATTAGCTCCAAATGGGAGGTCTGGAATCGTTTCTAAAAGCCTCTTGTAATATCATGTGATTTAATGAGTTACTCCAGTGCCTTCAATTACTCATCATATGAGGTGGTTTCTAGACTCCTCACCATCTTTGATTCTCCTTTGATGATGCACCAGTTGATCATAAGTTTCATTCTATCTGCCATTTCTGGTTGCTTGCCAGTGACTAACTAGAAACAATGTGGAGAAATTATCAGAAGCTGAGCACTGATAGCAAAGAGTGCCCTGTAATTTGTTGCTTTAAAAAAAAAAAAAATTCCCGAACAGATCTTCGCACCTACTGTTTTAAGATTTGTCCCATTAGTTTTTGTCCAGCAGCATGCTAGCTTGTTGAGAGAATTTAGAATTTTGATTCTCTCCTCTATGAATTAGTCATCTATTTCAGTGGCAATAAACAAAACAAAACAAAACTCAATGACTTGACAATAAATATACCTTGTTCACGATTCTGTGGCATTTCATTTCAATGTGGGTTCAGGGGGGTTTTATACACATCTCCCCTGCCAGTACTCAGACTGGAGGAGCAGCAACTGTTCACAAGGAGAAACCAGCGAGGCCCAAGGAGGTACATGCCACTCAGGCAACCATGGCAAGGGGTAGGAAGGGAAATAACAAATTAGAAAAATAAGATATGCCTGACATAGTAGTAACTGCTTTTTCTAGTGGCAACATTTTTGCAAAGTTGATATTGTTAGTCTAGAGACAAAGCTCCCCAGCTAACTATTCTTTTTGGGTCAGCACACATCTGGGTCTCTGTCATTTCTAAATCTCTAGTTTCTTGTTTAATTTGGCTGGGGTTTGGTTGTTTTTAAGCAATCAATATATTAAATAGTCACACTTATAAAATACACACAGTTTGCCCTCCAGGAACTTAACATCTTGGAGGGATAATGCTTGACACTTCAAAAAACACGAAATAAGGGAGTTTATGGTAACCGTCAGCCTGAATTCTAACAGTCAGACATGTTCTTTCAGGGACTAGATTGATCATCACAGGATGAGATGGCTTTAGAAGTAGAACATAGGAGTTGGGCTTGGTTTTAAAGTTGGGTGAGATTTTGAAAAGTGAAGGGAATAAGAGGAAGGACTTACCATTTAGTCTGTGTGATGCTCACTAGTAATTTGTGCAAAGGAACAGAAATGGGAAATCAAAAGTATGGTGGTGGGGGGACCAAATGATATGGGGTTAACTGGGGTAATGAAACAATGGGAGACAAGGCTGGAAAGAAAGTTTGGGCCATTTTATGGGGACCCATAAGGGCAGGTAAAATTTGTATTTATCATAAATGCAATGACAGCTGTCAAGGCTTTTGAGCAGGAAATGGTATAAATGTGGTGTTCTAGTTTGGCAAATACAGTGGGGCGGGGAAAGAGACAGAAAGAAGGTAGTTTGTTGTAGGATTCCAGTGGACTGAGTGATTCTGAAGTGATAAAGGCTTCTGTAGGGTATTGTTAATAAATGAAACAAAGGAAAATAAAGACATAGGGAAGAAAGTATCCTGTGGACCTGAAGACGATCAGAAAGTAGAGAACCAAAGAGAAACAGCATACTTGCAGATGCCAAGATTAGTTATTTCCCCATCAAGAATAAAGTTATTTCTCTGTGCAAGTTGTATAGTACTAGATAGAAGCTATTTATTTAACATCTTATTTATTCATCCTAGAATCAGTTTTTCTCAACCACTGTCTGGACTCAGTACAGGTGAGTGGCAAGGGAAGAGCTCTTTTTAATAGACTGACATCTCTTTTCAGAGAAGGCTGCCACTTGGGTACACTAACAGTCATTGTTACCACCAAGCCAGTACTGGCTTTGTGAGGGTGAATGCGTGACAAGGAGTGTACAAATGTGGAAAAGTAAAAAAATAATTACAACATATATACACATGCCTAGGCATATCCCTGGGGAATTATTTAGACTTTTTTTCCCACACAAAGTTGCTGTATTATTCAAGGAGTAATTCAAATCTCATTTACATGAAAGAATCAGTTGGTTTTATGAGCATACATTTCAAAAGGACCTATTCACGACTGAGCTCAAGAATGCCTGCCTGGAGCAAGTGACGTTTAAACTGAGATTTTAGTTAAGAAATAAAAGATAAGCTAGTTGGCAAAGAACTTGGAGGAGGGAAATGTTGGTTCAAGGGACTTTCCAACTGGAGAACTGCTGGTGAGGAGGCCTGGGGCTTGGGGAAAGAGTTTAACTTATCTGAAGAAGTAAAATGCTGAAGTAAGCAAACAAAAGAGGGGCACAAGATGGTTAGAGAAAATGATAGGGGAACCAGGACTTTGTAAGTTATATTAAAACGTTGGATTTTATAAGAAAAGTCTTTATGGGATTTTCAGGTTGGCAAACATGTGATCTGCTTTATAATTGAAACACACATTACTGAAAACTGCTACTTGGAGAATGGGTTGGATGCTAGTTAAGAGCTGAAGTTGACAGCTATTTAGGAATTCACTGCAGTAATCCAAATGGGATAAAGGGTTGGGTTGGGAGCATAAAAGATGAAGTGATGAGACTTGAGAATAATTTGGACAGAAGCATCAACAAGGCTTGAGGACCAGGCATGGGGGTTAAAGCGGTAAAAATGTCATAGATGTTCTAGCAATCTGGCATGCACCATTTCTAGGAAAAGGCATGTTTGAGGAGAGAGAGGGGAAGAGAATTTTTAGTTCTGAACATAGTTAACTTGCAGAGTTTACCAGACCTCCACGTGGAGAGTCGAGTGGAGGCTTACACTTGGGGGTTCAGTTCAGAGATGTGGACAGGATACACAGGTGTGCGCAGGAGACCCCTGGAGGTGCCCTCCAAATCCAGAAGGAAACTGAAGCTGTAGGTGAGGTCACCACAAGAGTGCTTGAAGTGGAGGTGTGGATAACCACGATCCGCACCCTGACGACACTTAGGATTGATCAGTTTCCTAGAGAAGATGAAGATGGAGGACACACAGTCAACATGGTCAAGGAACAAGTGTTAAAGACTGGAGTGTCAACTGTGCGAACTGTTTCTGAGTAGTCAAGCAAACTGAGGACACCCCAGCGTTCCCTGAGTTTAGCAATGCCGTGGTCAGCTGCTAAGTGGACTTTATCCAACTAGGCCTTCCAGACAAGAGTCTCCAAGCGTGGGCCTCTGCAAACAGATAACTTCCTTTCAGTTGTTCTCTGAAAGCCTAAGCAAACCTTCATTGCGACACAGCAATGAAGTACAGTCATGCACGTCGTCGGAAGCCAGCCCAAAGGGTAAGTACAGGGCGACTTGGCCAAGCGGCGGCCCCAGGGGGAGGCAGCGCGTGGCCGGAACAGCCTCGTTGGATTGGCCGAGCTCGGCAGCCGCCGGTGATTGGCACAGGCGGACGGAGGCGGGGCGCCCGGGGCTCTCTTTTCTCCAAGCTGGTACTTTCATTTTCCAGCGCAGAGTCTTTTGAGAGACCCCGCAGCAGCCCTGACGGCGCCCGTCAGACCCCAGACTGCGCAGAGGTGACACGGGTGCCCGGGAGAGGCTGCGCCACCGCCTACGCCCGCCCGATCCTGCGCGCTGAGTGAGTGGGAGCGGGGTTTCGGGGGGGCCGGAAGGGGAGCGCTGGCTGCACTGCCGGGGCCGGCCGCTGGACGCCCGCCGAGACGGATTTTGAGTGAATCCACCACCCCTAAAGTGAATGAGTCCCTTTGTGCAATCACTGTGCTCGGTGATGGCGCTGCTGCTCCTGCCCCTCCTGCAAGGACTGTGAAGATGAGATAGAACGCCTCTCCCACAAGCACGAACACAGACTCAGCATCTCTCCATTTACCCTTACTTTTGCCTCCTCTCGCTCCCCCCACCATTCATGTTCTCTTCTATTTGCAGAAAGTTTTCCTTTGCCGAGTGCCATCTGCAGAGAGCTGTCTAGGTTCGAGACGCTCGCACCCTGCGCATGCAGACCCAACAGTTTGGCACCTGATTTGCTGTGTGACTGTTGCTTAACTTGAAACCCCAGTCCCTCCCGGGGGCGGCAGGTGACAGGTCAGTAATAATCCTGGAAACAATGAATGAGAATACAGTTTTGGAATCTTTATTATGTATGTGTGTTAAAGGATGAAGGCGCTTAATTTCTTCTTGGAATATAAAGTGAGTTTAGTTCCTGCCAACTTCCTTGCTCTCCCTCCTCACTATCATATAGTCTTTAAAGAAAAAAATCTGATTAATACCAAAGAGTTTGGGTAGATATACAGGTCTGTGTTTTATTGTGTTTTGGATGTTGTTTATATAGGTTGATGGGGTGGTTGTTTTTATGAAACAGAAAAGTGTCTAGAGCCTCTGTCACAATCGAGTATGCAGCCATTGCTTAATAAGGGCGCAGGACGAAAAGTTGTGGCACCATAATATATGTGATTTGCCTTTCACATTCTAATTCAGTTGAAAATATACTAGAGTTTAATTCAATAAACTCTGAGTATATGCTGTGTTCAGAGCACAGTGCAAGGTGCAGAAGATGGTTTTTACAAAGACATGGTAACTCTGGAGCTCACATCATGCGGGGAAGACATCCTAGGTCTTAGTAAGGAACACTGGACTGTTGCTCTAGCAGAGGCACAGAAAACAATGACACACAAGTCAAAGAAAGCTTAATAACCTGGGTAAGTCTCAGACAGCTTAATGGAACAAGTGGCATTTGTACCTGACTTTGAATACTGAAAGGGGTTAGAGAGGTAGAAATTTGTGGGGAGGCTGTTTACAAGGCTGGAGCAGAGCAGAAATGTTGGGCACAGCCAAAAACCAGTATATAATTCACTTTGCAAATGGATAAAAATAGGAATGGAGTGAAAATCAGCCTAGGAATGGGCCAACTATCACATCATTGAACACGAGCATGATGTAGTCCAATTTCTCAGGAGACTGGATTGGGAGAAGAAAGTGTTGAGGGAGAGATGGAGGAGGTTTGGGGACTGGAAAGAAATCTGTTAACCCTAATTTTGGGAATTGAACCAGGTGATGGAGGATGGTCATGCAACTCCCTGCATTAGTATCACCTTTGTGAGAAAATGGAGTGATTTCTGGATGTGTTAACATGAATTCATCCTCTGCCCGCTTTGTGTCAGGTGTCACGTCTGCATTAGTTCATCCAGTCCCTTGCAGCCACCCTGTTGATAAGGGAATGCAATGCTTGAGTTTGCTTGCCGTAAAAAGAAATGTGGTCATTCCCCCCAGATCTGGAGTCTCCCACTCAGGTGAAATAAACTGAAGTGAATAGTGAAATTGATAGAGCAAGTATACCAAAGTGCTGGGCTTGGGTCCATTGCTACTGGTATTTGAATAACTAGTGTGTAGTCTCACCATATCCTTACTTTCCTTTGAAAAGAAATTGGTGAAGTAGGCATGACTTCATGCTGCGCACGTCTCTTCAGCATGCATTTTCCCACGCCCTGCTTAAAAACCCAGATTTCTTCCACAGAAATGTGGTAGGACAAGATTCACTTCTGTCCACTCCGAATATTGTCAGCCATACCTGGATATAAATTCTAAGTTCAGCTGAGGTGGTGGAATGCGAGTGGATGTTAGGACTTCCTTAAATCAGGGTTTCGTTTTAATTTTTAATCTTCACAACTGCTGGATAAGAACTGACTTACAGTTTCCAAAGAGATAAGTTACTTTATCCTTTTAAATGACATTTAATGGGCCTCCCCTGGTGGCGCAGCGTTTGAGCACTGGGTTGTGAGGCTGCCTGCAGCCTCTGCAGCACTGGTTCGTTCCCAGGCCGCCGGCGAGGGTCCCACAAAAAATAAATAAATAAATAAATAAATAAATAAATGACATTTAACAATGTTGCTTTAATCTTTAAAAATTATGACTGCAATTTCAGATACTTTGTGTCAGATTTATTGCTTGCAATGGGTATACATCTCTTTTAAAAGGTATATGTCAAAAATAATTTATTTTACCATGTGAATCATAAAATATAAAATATTGGTTTAGGACTCTGAGTTAAATTACAAATGTACTGTAATTTGTATGAGAGCAATTTTTGGAAAGTTCTTATGACTTGTCCTAAAGCAAATCAAATTAAATAAAGTTTTATTTATTTTATAAAAGTGCAGATTCCTTTTAAAGACATTTTTCTTGAAGATTTAGTTTGTATCCTTCACTGTTCTGGAGATACAGCAGAAACAGAATCCCCCAAATTCTTTTCTTCACATGGAAAAAACAAATAGTAATCAAAATTAAAAAAAAGAAAATATGTGCCAACTCGAGGGTGGTAAGTGCTATGGAGAAAAATACATCGGAGAGGGCTGTTTGCTCAAGGGGTTAAGTCTCAGCACTCTGAAGCTATCCGCAGCCACTGCAGCACAAGTTCGACTGTGAAACCGGGTCTACTCATCATTATTTGAGTATTGTCAAATCCATTTAGTCGTAAGGCCAGATAGGAGTGATAGCAAGCCATTGCATCATGGAAGGGGGCCATTCAGGGTTGGAGTGAAGTCAGTGCAGAACACCTGAGCAAATTACATGAAAGGCAGCTGAGGGGTCCTCCCTGGTGCCACAGGGGTTAAAGACACAGAGCTGTCAAGCTGCTGCCAGCCACTGCAACATAAGTTCCATCCCTGACTGACCCACATGGCACAGAAGACCTCTTCTGTCTCCCCTGCTGCTCCCCTCAGCAGTGTATTTCAGTAGATCTGCCTGTTCTTGTCCCCGCTCTGTCTCTGGTGAATCCTCTCACCCCTTGCACCTCTGGCCTGTACCCCAGTTCTTGTATGCATAAATAAATAAATCTTAAAAAAAATTACACCAGAGGAGAGGGCTGGTGTTTCCAGGGTGAGAGGCACTGTCAATTTAAATAAGGTGGCTAGAGAGGGCTTCCTTGTATGTTGACATTTGAGCAAAGACCTGAAGATGTGCTTCCTGGAAATGAAAAGAAAATGTATTGTCCCCGAAAGTTCATAAAAAGCAGACTTTAGAATAGACACATGTAAATAATTTATTTCAGAGACAAATTATGTTTTGGATTAAGCACGGTATTTAAAAGAAGCACACTGCTTCCTTTGAAGCTCAGACTTTGTTAGTGATCTTTGTTGTGTTTCCTTATAGGATGTCCCAGTGGTATGAGCTTCAGCAGCTGGACTCCAAATTCTTGGAGCAGGTTCACCAGCTCTATGATGACAGTTTTCCCATGGAAATCAGACAGTACCTGGCACAATGGCTTGAAAAGCAAGACTGGTAAGAAAAGCTCACTTGACAGAAAGTTTTCAAAATAACTTGTTGATGAAGCAACTTAGAGCCACATTGACTGAAGATGAATCTCATCAGTGGCCGTTGGGATTATCTGTTGCAGAAAATTGTGCAGATTTTTAAAAATGGCACGTGCCTTGCAAAGCTTAATACATTAGTCATAAACACTGTGATGTAGTTTTGTCCAATTCAATTAGGATGTATACTCTGAAATGCTTCGGACAAGTTGAATAATGCTGACACCGATTATTTTTCAAATTAGGTTCTAGGCTATAGAAAGAAGTAAATTAAAGAAAATAATTAAAAACAAATTTTGGTAACACTTAGATTAGAAATATCAAGTGTTAAATTAAGGGACTGCCTCTTAAAACTGATATGGCTTCCTTTCAATTTATTGTCTGTTGATGACAGAATTTTTTAATGTTGTAAAGATATTTGGCTTAGGAAATTAAGACCCCTGTTGAATCACCATTAACAGGGTCATGCTGAAACTCTGTTTGAGAATTTTTCATGTTGATTATATATAAAAATAATGCAGAAACTGCTAATAAAGGCAATCTCAGTTTCTAAATGAGGAACTAAAAATCTAAGAAATACTTAAAATTACTTTTAATAATCTCAATAAAGAAGGCAATATTTATTTTGCCTGCTTAAATAGTATCTAAAATAAAATGTATATATTTAAATCCCCCAGGGAACATGCTGCCAATGATGTCTCATTTGCCACTATCCGATTTCACGACCTCCTGTCTCAGCTGGATGATCAATATAGTCGCTTTTCGCTGGAGAACAACTTTTTGTTGCAACATAACATAAGGAAAAGCAAGCGCAACCTTCAAGTATGACCTGGGTTTTCTATTTTGGTTAAAATGTTACCACACTGGGTATACTTAAAGTTCTTTTCATTCAGTAAATACTTCTGAGGAACACACTGATTGTATTTAGAAAAGTTACAGAGGCTGGAAATAAACTCCCTTTATGCAGCTAATATTTTACAGCATAAGTAAAATAAAATGTCGGTTCTTTTTTCTAAACATAGAAGGAATTTTTCTGTTTCTATGTTTAAGTGTATCACCTATTAGATATCAATAAATCTGAGAGAAATAAGAAGCTGTAACTTTGTTTTAACTAAAAAAATGCCAGTATTTAATCCAAAGGAAAAAAGGGTTACATAAAGCTTAAAGGAACTTTAGTGTTGAGGCCAGTCTAAGTCCTGGTACAGAGATGAAGGAAAACTCCAGAAAGATTGGACCTTCCTAAGGCCCATTAGTGAGTTGGTGAGTTAGAATTCGATCCTACCTGGCTTTGCCTTTGCTGGAACTACCCTCCCACTGCAGAGAAAGTCAAAGTGAGTTCCAGGCAGTAGAAAATGTATCATGAAGTTTTGGGGTTCTTCAAAAAGATGCCCTTAATTCTGGCAACCATATTTATTTCTGCAGTAAGCAAACATTTTTGTTTTAATGTTATCTTGTTTCATGCAACACAACCAAAGGCTTAGATTTAGATAATTGGAGGCTTCTTTATTTCCTCTGTGAATGTGATTTTATAACACCAGTGAGTGGGGAAATCAGGTTAAATTTATGGAATTTGCTCTTGTATATATTTTGCTTAAATGCCCCTGTTACAAGGAGCCACAATTGTCAGTGTTTTGCAAATTAGCCTTGACAAGGAAACAGAAAAACTGAGAAGAATGTCATTTGCCTAATTCAAAGTAGAGACCAACAGAAATTAACTGAGGAATATCATGGCTACTTTTTTGTATTATTTGTACTATTTCAGGACTCTAAGAGAAGAAAAATTGGCCTCAAAACAATAAAGTAAAACTATTGTCTGAACCATGTATGAAAATTGAATTTTCAGTCCAATGTAATTTAGGGGCCCTCCACTGTATTAGAAAGTTAAAGTAGTTTTTTGTCAAAATTCGTGAAAGGAATATTTTGATATTACCAAAATGGTTTACATAGAATTTAATAAATGTGAGATGAGATTTCTGAGTGGATATGAACAAATTCATTTCAATTTAAAATCCACAAATATTTAAACATTCTGGAATGTAATTTATTTTTATTTTAACAACCCATATATAGGATAATTTTCAGGAAGACCCAATACTGATGTCTATGATCATCTGTAACTGTCTGAAGGAAGAAAGGAAGATCCTGGAAAATGCCCAGAGATTCAGTCAGGTACTTTTTTTCCCCAATTGAATACATCACCATCATCATCATCATAATTAAGAATAATAATAAAATAAGAATCCATGAATTCACCCTACACATGTTATTTAAGAAGTGTTCGAGGTAGTGATGAATAGCCCTCTGATTTTATAACCCCAAAAGTGAGGAAAAGCAAATATATATTATAAACCCAAACTTTTAAGAAAGAACCCTATCTTAATGGAATTCATTCTAGTGAGGGAGAGAAACAAAATCCTTTCAGATGGTGATAATTGCTTTGAAGATAATAAACATGAAACAAAAAAAAGATAATTAAGACATGTTACTATGATAGTAATGGGGTATCTGCGGATGGGATTGGGTGGGATCCAGAAACTTCTCTAAGGTGCTGGAGCAGGAAGGGAAGCAGGCAGATAAGGAGGGCTCCTGCAGCAGCCAGGGAAGAGACGGTGAAAGTAGAAAAATTCAGGTTATGTTTTAGTCATGGTTCGATAGGGCTTGCATTGCAGGTTCAGATGTGGGAATGTAAGTGAAAGTTCAAGGATGAATATGGTTCAGCCTGAGTCTTTTGGAAATATTATTTATTTAGTATGAAGAAAATGGAAGAAACAGGAGTGGAGTTTTTGTAGGGCCCAATAGATTTTAGACAAGAACAGGTTGATGGAAAATCAAGAGCTCTGTTTTGAATAGGATTGAGCTACCTGCTAAATATCTAAGCTGTTCAGTGATTGAGTCAGAGTTATTTATACTACTATCAAGTTGTTTGAACATGGTTTTAGTAATCATAATGCAAACCTTCCTGCCAACCAGTGTCCAGCTGTTCTTTGAAATTGCGGTGGCATTTATGCATTCCTTTCTTGAGTGATGGCGGTGGGGGGTGGGGGGTGGGTGGGTGGGTGGGGGGTGTGGGCAACCCAGCAGGCAGGCAGTTGTGAAACCAGAGTGTACGGGTTGTTCTGGCTGAGACCATTCCAACAGGGGTTGTGGCAGGTGGGGGAACATGGAATGCATGCTATGTGTGTTTCCCTTAGAAATAACTAACAGTGAACTGTCAGATGATGGAGGAGCCTGAGAGAGAGAAGTTAAGTAATGCAGGTGACTGCCACTCTCCATATACTTTCTGAGTATTTGCCTCAGTCCTCCTAAATCTGCTGCTTCTCAGACACGTAGTTGCTGCTGTCTCCCTGTCAGGAAAGGGAAACAGAAACTGCTGCGCTGAGCATGTAAAATAGGCCTTATTTGATGTACACTCACGCTAGTCATTCTCCTCTGAGACCTAGGTGAGACCATGGCATCACCTGGGAGGTTTCCAGCAGAAAATTTTGATTATGTAGGATTCTCATCTTTTTAAAAAAATTTTTTTAAAAGATTATTTATGCATACAAGAACTGGGGTACAGGCCAGAGGTATGGGGGGAGAGAGGATTCACCAGAGACAGAGCGGGGAACAGAACAAGCAGACTGACTGAAATACACTGCTTAGGGTCACGTAGGCCCTTGCCATGGTCACCAAATATTTTTGTGCCAAGCACCTTCCAGCAGGAAGGGCAGGTAGCAGGAGTGCAGCTGTGTTCTTACAAGCGTCGCTATGTGGCTGTTCGCTACACTGACACTTGCTAGTTTAGGGAGAAGGACTAGGAAGTCAGGATCCCTCTGTCTGGGAGAAGTGTCCCAAGTGTTACCATGTCCAATGTCCATGTTCAGTTGGCTTAGAGGTGACAATAGCAAACATTTCCCTGCAGAGGCAGGAAGCTGCTTGAGGTGATGGCTTGTTCTATCACTCAGTGACATGTGGCACCCAGGACACTGGTGGTTTTCATTTGTTTCTAGTATATACTTTACAACTAATATAATCAGAAACTTTAAATTTCTGCTATTCCAGACTATATAGAAAGAAGGAGAGCTTCCAGCTGTTTTCTATAAACAAAGAATGACTTTGATAACCTAAATGTAATAGAAACAGAACTTGAAAGGAAATTATAGGTCAGTTCCACTTATGAGTATCAATTTAAGTCCTAAATAAAATTTTCAAGATCAGAATTAAATACTAAATGAAGAACATAATACATCATGATACCATAGAGTTTATTCTACATTACAAGAGTAGAACATGACTGGGAATCCACTAATGTAATGTCGTCCTATAAATATGCAGAGAAAAACAATGTGCTTGTCCTCAAAGAGGATGAAAAAGTCTGAAAAAACCATTTCTGAACCAAAAATTTCAATAAGAGAAGAATTGATAGATACCTCCTTAGCATATTACAATCTCCATCTCAGTTCTTGAGATAGTATCTTATTTAATTGAGAAAACACCAGTAAGTCAGAGACATGGCAAGGATACCCACTATTGCCATGGCTCTTTAACATTGAGCTGGTACTGCTGACCAAGGCAGCTAGAAAGGAGAAAACCATGAACAGTATAAGGATAAAAACATTGTAAAGATGTCATTTCTTCCTGAGTTAACTCTTTTTTTTTTTTTAATGTAATCCCAATAAAAGTAAAAAGTTGTTTTCTGAAGCTATACAGATTGACTCTGAAATTCATATGAAGTGAGTGTCCAGAGTAGGGAGGAACTGCATCAACAAGTAGAGCTGGGAGGGGCCTCCCTGGTGGCTTAAAGGGTTAAGTGTCAGCACTATGAAGCAATCCCCAACTACTGCAGTATGACTTTGATCCCCAGCCAGGAAGGTGACCCACATGGTGCAGCAGACCTCTCCTATCACGCTCTCTGCTCCCCTCAGCAGTGTATTTCAGTCAGTCCGCCTCTTCTGCCCCCACTCTGTCTCTGGTGAATCCTCTCACCCCCGACACCTCTGGCCTGTACCCCAGCCCGTGTATGCATAAATAAATCTTTAAAAAAAAAAAACAACAACAAGTAGAGCTGTGAGATGGGACTAGCCCGGTAGATCCACTGTAAATGCTCCATAATTAAACATTATTCAGGGGTTCAGGTTTATGAAGAGAAAGAGCTTGAGAAAAAGAAAAGAAAAAAAATCTCAGGTGCCTATGGAAATTTATATGCTATAGATCACAGCTCGGAACTCTGGAAAAGTGAGAACTTTCACTAAATGTTAAGACAAATGGGTAGCCAAATGGAAAAAAGTTAAAATTGAACCCATACTTCACATTCAATGTAAAAATCAACTTCAAATGGATCAGAGATCACAAAGTAAAAAATGAAATGAAAGGGTTGGACTCCTTTGTTGTCTGTCAGTGGGGAAAGACACTAATGTGAAGGACCATTAAGTATTTAAAAAAAAGGCTGATAAATTCAAATATATAAAAACATCCACATGGAATCTGTGCTGTGAGGGGCACAGTGTGGAAAGGTGGGCAGCAGCTTTCGAGGTGTGGGACTTTAAACAAAAGCAGCATCTTTCTAGACTTGAATCTCTGAGATCAGAGTCTATCCTGTTTGCCACTCTACACCAGAGCCTAGAACACTGCGTGACCTTGACTTAGTTCTTGGTGTTTGTTACGTGAGTAAATCAGGGAAAACTTTATGTAATGAACAGTAGATGCTGCTGCGTCGGGGCCTTCTGACTATCAAGGAGGAGGACTCAGTGCTCCCAGTGCGTGTGCAAAGACAGTCTTTACTTCAGAGTAGCTGATATTCATTGCAGTCCGTAACGGCAATGCTGGTTGAGTTTGATATGCCTCTGAATCATCTGGGATCCTGTAAAAATGGGGTTGTGCCTGCCAAATCAGATTGGGATCTAAGATTCTTTTTTTAAAAAAGATTTATTTATTTATGCATACAAGAACTGGGGTACAGGCCAGAGGTGCAGGGGGTGAGAGGACTCACCAGCGACAGAGTGGAGAACAGAACAAATGGATTGACTGAAATACACTGCTGAGGGGAGAGCGGTGAGTCAGGAGAGGTCTGCTGTGGGTAGCTCCCTACTAGGGATCAAACTCGTGCTGCAGTGGCTGCCAATAGCTTCATAGGTTGTTTCTTAACCCCTTGCACCACCAGGGAGGCCCTGGGATCTAAGATTCTACATATACAGCAATATCTCGTGTGGTAAGATGACCCTTGTTTGGGGAGCACACTGTCAATCTTAAGGCCTTCAGACAAATCAGGACAGGGTTAATAAGAATAAATTTGTCTATAGAATTTAAGAAACCCTGAAATAAATTCCAATGTGGCACCATGTAACTGTATGAATAATGGAAAATTCCTGAAACACGATTTGTTTATTACAGCCCTGGATTTTCTGTGGTCTTATTAACAGTTTGTCAGTGTACTCCAGGGCCTTGGGAACTGAGCTGTTTCTTGACAGCTCCCATGTGGGAAACCTGTAGGGCTTTGAAAATTCTGGGACGGAGGGAGGGTACAGAATGTGGACTTGACTTTGGAGCATAACCAGTGGGTCGATATGTCAGGGGAAATGATGGCTGTTAATCTGGTATCTCCTGTTATAGGCTCAGTCGGGGCATATTCAGAATGCTGTGATGTTAGATAAACAGAAGGAGCTTGACAGCAAAGTCAGAAATGTCAAGGACAAAGTTATGGTGAGTATTGAGTAAATACATACATTTGTTCTGTAACTTTTTGTAGAGGAAAAAAGGTTTCAGTTGCTCTAGTGTAATGTAGTAACTGATTTCAGCCTTTTAAGTAGTTGAGAAATTTTACTGACGTTCCAAACCATATGCAAACTAGCAAAACCAATGAGTCGATAGGCATTTATGGCACCTGCTATAACTTCAAAGCTTTGTGCTTATCTTTTTCTTCCTTGCAAGGCTGTTTAAAATTGTTGACTTTGCCCTCTTACCCAATACACTAGATCGTGCTGCTCTAAATAGCCTTTGTGTCTACACCTTTCAAATTAGGGCCGTCAAATTAGGTTGCATAAAGCACCAGAGTAGAGAAAGGCACACTTCTTGAAGCATCTGTTTTGTCTTAAGACATGGGAGGGAAACAAAAACAGTTAGTTGGGATTCTGGTCCATTTCTAGTCAGAATAAAACACTGCCAATAATTTTAAGATGATCTTGCAAGAAAACATGTCAGCAGAGGACTGCTTCCGTGGCCTTGGTGGTATGTGTTACCTCCTCTCCACTGTTAGGGCTATTTGGGGGGAAAAGATGGGGAAAGCATCTGGCTTTACACCAGGCCTGTATTAGTGGTGAAGGCCTTCCAGCCCAGGGTTGCCATTTGCTGTGGGTCTCTGGGACACACCACTTGGCCTTGACTTTGTGCTGTCACTTTTTGCTTAAACTTTAGATTCTTTGGAGCCACTTTATCCTGCAGTTTCCTAGGGAAACATTTCATTAAAGTAGAAATCAAGTGACCCACTCTAGAAATACCCATCTATTTTCTATTAAATGTTACTATGTACCTATCATTGAAATAGAAATTATTTCATGTATGTGATTAGGATTGTGCCAAATCCAATCCATCTTTGAGGAACAGGATTGTTTTACAGTTTTCTGGGTCCTGTGTCCTAAATAAATTATTTCCTTAGATCTTTGGAATCCAATCCATGAAAAACCTGTTTATGTCTTTATTTGTAGTGTATAGAACAGGAAATCAAGACTCTAGAAGAGTTACAAGATGAATATGACTTTAAATGCAAAACTTCACAGAACAGAGGTAAGCTTTAATATCTAGAGCAGTGTTCATTGACTATGAGGCTTTTTTCTGTTTGTAGTACATAGCAAAGCTGAATACACCTTTACTTGCCAAGTATTTTATCACTCTGATTTGCGATCTTGGTTTCTTGCATATTCAGGCCAGAATTTCTTAACCTCAGTACTATTGACATAATGGGCCAGATAATTCTGGGCTTCTGTCCTGTGCATTGTTGGATGTTTTAACAGCGCCCTGACTTCTCTCCACCAGATGGCAATCGAACTAACCTTTAGTCCCCAGTGGTGACAACTGAGCTGTCTCCAAACATTGTCAATGTTTGTCACCCCTATTTGATAACTACTGGCAGTGTGTTATCCCTTTATTTTATTGTGCCTATCTCACTGATTGGCACACTGGTAACTGGGTGCAGTTGCCTGGCCCTGCCACCTAAATCTCCTTCCAACAGTCCAGCTCCGCATATATACTCTATTTTGTTGTTGCTGCTTGTTCTTAATGGTGAGAGAGCAGCAATCGAAAATATCCCACTTACTTGAATGATGTTATGGTGATAAGGCGAGATTATTAACATAATTTGAGTAGAAGTATGAGAGGAACCTCATCTAGTACTTCCTGATTGTCTACTTCTCTTTCAGAGTTACAGATAAGCTCTGTATAAATTTTTTTTAAATAAATTTTATTTTTATATTCCCCATACAATTGCAACCCCCTTATTTGACCCCAATCCCTCCCCTTCCCACCCCCCCACTCCCCATAGAGTGTCTCTGGTTCATAGTTTTTTGTTGATTTTTATTTTCACTTTCTTATAGTTATTCATTTTCCTGGTCCCTTAGTTAAGTTTTCTAGATTCCTGCTATGAGTGAGACCATCGGGTATTTTTCTTTTTCTTTCTGGCTTATTTCGCTGAGCATGATCCCTTCCAGCTCCATCCATCTGAGACTTTGACTGGTGTCACTTCTATTTATTTATGTAACAGTTTGACAGAGACTGAACAGTCAGACAGTGTTGTTTCCCATTCACATGGGTCATTGGTAACAAGGTTTTACTGGGGTCAGTGTTTATATTGAGATTTTTCTTGTCTTGTTCAATAAAAATTGAAGACCAAGCTTTGACTTACCACCAGAGTGCACTTGGATAGTGTATTTCCCCTAAATGTATATGAACCTTGGATTTAGTGGGTTTTGTCTTTTTTTTTGTACATTTATATTTATCTGCTGTCTCTCCCAATTCACAGAACATGAAACCAATGGTATAGCAAAGAATGATCAGAAGCAGGAACAGATGTTACTCCAGAAGATGTATTTAATGCTTGACAATAAGAGAAAGGTATGAATCACTTCCATGTTGCTTTTTTCACAATCTGTAAATAATAAATTTGAAGTTGAGAATAGAGGAAAAAATATTTTTATAAACACTTGGCTCAGAGCCCTACTTGTGGTGACACAACTAGGATGAAAGGCTATTTGCTTTGCTTTAAAAAATTCTTTTAAAATTCAGTGATTAAAGATGAACTTATTTCACTTTGTTTCTTCCTCTCCCTTTAGGAAGTAGTTCACAAAATAAGGGACTTGTTGAATGTCACTGAACTTACCCAGAATGCCCTGATTAATGATGAGCTGGTGGAGTGGAAGCGGAGACAGCAGAGCGCCTGTATTGGGGGCCCCCCCAACGCCTGCCTTGACCAGCTGCAGAACTGGTAAGAGCCTTCAAAGTGGAAAGTTGGCAGCCGAGTAGCTAACCATATAAACTCATAAAGTGCACTTTCGAGTAGTGTTAGTTGAATGGACCCTGTCAAAACTTGGGTTGGGAGTTTGATGTGGTCCAGCTTCTGGCCTGGACTCACTAGGGAAGCTCAGTGTTTTCCAAGCCTGTTGCCACGTTCAGCCCAGGTCGGCTTGGTTTGGAGCCTCCCTCCCTGGCGTACGTGTACTGTGGGATGCATCTCTTGACTGTGCCAGAACTCCAGTGCCATCGTCATCACATGATGCATTTAGCAACTTCAGTCCCAGTGTTTTCTTAAAAACAAAATAGCTTGAGGGATTTTCCAGGCTGACATGAAATAATAGTTTGTTTTGGGTCACTGATTCATTCATGTCTTCAGTAAATCGTTGTGAAGTGCTGGGTGCCAGACACTGGGTGACAGCCTCCAGGGCCCTCACCTATGTGGAGCAAGAGGTGGGTGTGGCAATAATCCCGTGCAGGAAGAGGTTGCTGTGCTTGAACACAAGTCCCTGCAGAGTTCTGTGGGGGAAGCAGTCCCCAGGAAGGATGTGTTACACAGACTTCTGAGAGTAAATTAGGAGAAGTTCATATAGACCAGACAGGAGAACACGGACAGCGGTGTGGAGGGGAAGAGAGGCCAGCAGGAGCACAGCCTGCAGCACTGCCGATGGGGTGGCTGGAGAGTCACGTGCTGGGGGTAGGAGGAAAGCAGAGCTGGCAGGAGAGGCTGGGGCTGACTGATCATGGAGGTTCCCAAACCATATCTGGAACAAGGATTTTATCTGGGCACTGGTGGATCAGGCAGATATTTTATTTTATTATTATTTTATTTTATATTTTGTTTTATTTTATATATTTTTATATCATTTTTAATTTTTGTACTATGAATGCATTTTCATCTTGGTTATATTCCCCATACACTTCCCACCTCTCCCCTTGTTTTGATCCTACTCACTTCTCCCCCCTGCCCCCCATAGTGTGTCTCTGGTTTATAGTTGCTTGTTGATTTTGATTTTTACTTTATTATAATTAGTCTTTTTCCTGGTTCCTTAGTTAGGTTTTCTAGATTCCTGCTATGAGTGAGACCATCCGGTATTTTTCTTTTTCTTTCTGGCTATTTCGCTGAGCATGATCCCTTCCAGCTCCATCTATGTTGCTGCAAATGTCACGAGTTTATCTTTTTTGATTGCTGAGTAATTTCCATCGTGTATATGTACCACATCTTCTTGATCCAGTCATCTATTTTTGGGCATTTGGGTTGTTTCCATAGCTTACGTATTGTAAATAGTGTAGGCAGATACTTTATTGAAGTGAAGATTTATTTCGCTGATTTTCAGTTTTGAAAGGTTAACTCTGGCAACAGTCTGGAGGCTAGAATAGACACAGAAAGACCCATTGAGCCGATTCATTCATGCCTTCAAGTAAATCCTTATGAAATGCTGTGTGCCAGACACTGGGTGACAACCTAAGGGGCCCTCGCCAGTGTGGAGCAAGAGGTCGGTGTGGCAGTAATCCTGGAAGAGGTTGCTGTGCTTGAACACAAGTCCCTGCAGAGTTCTGTGGGGGAAGCAGTCCCCAGGAAGGATGTGTTGCACAGACTCTTGAGAGTAAATTAGGAGAAGTTCATATAGACCAGACAGGAGTGCTCTTTGGGATGTGGAGGGGAAACTGGTGAGAGCTAAACTCAGGATCAAGCAGAAGGGATGGAAAGGGTAGAGTCAGAGAGAATTTGAGGGGATGGTGACTGGAATAATTCCCAGAACCCTAGGCTGGAGATTTTGTGAGATTATTTTCTGAATTGCTTTTTTTTATACAATGAATATTCAGTCATTTGCTTTTATTCTGTGACTGACTTGTCCATATACACATTTCTTGTGGGTTAAAATGGAATTTCCCAGCCCAGTATACCCCCTTGCCCCTTGAGAAGCACTGACCCCCAAAACCTCCAGGGTGCCAGGAGACCCTGGGCTGTGTGGCGCCCCCCAGTGGTCACTTTGGGGCACAAGAAACCTCTTTTACTCCCCTCTGCCCAGCATTTCTGTCCTGATAGAAACCCTGTGGGGGCTCCTTTCTGCCTCCCACACGGCCCTGATGGTGTCTGTCTTGTCCTGTCCCCAATCTCTGCCCTCTTCCCCTTTTCCTTGTCCCGTTAAGTCATTAAATCACACAGATCTTAAAGTCACATGTCCCATAGAAGCCGCATCCCCAGCCTGTCTCTCCTTGCATTCATCTCAGTAATATGCAGAGGTTTCTGATGCCAGCTGCCATCCCTTAGTGCATATTAGTTTTTTCTCCCCAAGAAATGAGCTCCTCAATGCCTAAAGGAGCCTTGGCCTCTGTCTCTCTGTAGCCTGTGCAGGTAAAGTTGTGCGTTGCCTGTAGGGTCCACTGTTACTTCCTGCGGGCTGCTCTGGGGCTGTTTCTGATTGAGAGCTCTGTGTCTTGTGCCAGGTTCACCATAGTCGCGGAGAGTCTGCAGCAGGTTCGTCAGCAGCTTAAAAAACTTGAGGAACTGGAACAGAAATACACCTACGACCTAGACCCTATCCCAAAAAACAAACAAGGGTTATCGGATCGCACCTTCAGCCTTTTCCAGCAGCTCATTCAGAGGTAAATTGAGGGAAATGTATTTGCATCTTTTGTAATGTTTTTATCAGAGGAAAAATTTTATAGTAATTCAGATAGCTGAGAAGGGTTTCATAGGATAGATTTTTTTTTTTTTTTTTTTTTTTGCTTAACCAGCAATTGACTCTTTCTGAATTTGTTGTTTATGCCTACATCCCTGCCTAGACCAGGACTAGTAATTTTATTCCTGCTCTTTGTCCCAGCGCTAGCCTGCTGAGACCTGGTGAGTCTAACCATATGATGACCTCTCCTTTCCATGGGTGACCTCATCTCATTTCAGGCTCTTAAATCCTCTCTGCTGAACTCTTTCATGGTAGCCTCCAAACTAGTGCCCTTTTCAGGTGCCCTTTTCCTTCCCAGTCCCGGTGACCCAGCTCTGTACCAGGCAGAGTCCTGTGTGGTTCTGCATCACCTACACAGTGGAACCCCTCTGCTGGGTACCCCGCCCCACCCACTGCCTGGCCCTAGCTGGCCACTCCAGAGTTAGCTTCCACTGACCCCGTTCCCAGGCACACTTCACCTTGTGCTGTTTTCAAGGCCCATCTAGTGCACTTGCTCTTCCATGTCTCGCCAACATTGTTTCTTCCACCTCAGAGCCTTCTTCTCTTGTACCTATTTCAAAATTGTATTATCCCGAAAGTTTCAGCTTTCAGCTTTCATTTCATCATGAAATCTTGCCAGTCTCTAAACACATTCCCTCCCTTCTAGATCTGCATAGTTCATTTCTTATTCTTCCATTATGGATTTTATTATATAGTTGTCAAATATTCTGTTGCCAGTCGGTGGGTTCTGGATGGCAGAGATATGCCTTTGTCATCCTTTTTCCCCCACTAAGGCTTGCCCATGGTAGATTGTACAAGCATGCTTCGTAGATAAATAAATGGCATTGAGTGGAAGAGTAGATTTCATATTGCACCTTTTTTTTTAAATGCTAACTTGACATAATAAAAATATCTTTGGTTCCCTGTTGCTAATGTCTAAATAGGGATGTGTAGATGTCGAATTTTAACATAATTAAGGACTTTACTTGGGTTTTGGAGTGCAAATTTGACTTTTTTTTTTTTTTGTGGGACCCTTGCTGGCGGCCAGGAAACGAACCAGCACTGCAGAGGCTGCAGGCAGCCTCGCAGCCCAGCGCTCAACCACTGCGCCACCAGGGGAGACCCAAATTTGACTTTTTTTATTGAAAATTAATGGTTGGGAATGTTTACTAGATAATAAATATTACTAAGCAATTTTACCAGAAGAATAATTTTCCAAAGGATACTAAAATTTGCATTTCAAATATAATGCTTATGATATTAAGTAATATGTTACATACATGGTTTATTTTTAAATGTACTAAAATTTCTTTTTGTCTCTTTATTTTTAAATTGAGGTATAACATTATGTTATACCATTATGTTATAGGACAACATTACGTTAGTTTCAGGTTTCCAGCACAATGATTTGATATTTGTTTATATGGCAAAATGATCACCACTGTAAGTCTAGTTAGCAAATTTGATTCTTAGTGCAGATTTGTAAGTGAGCATAATCAATCCAGGATTTTCACTGTTGAAAAGTATTACCAGTCTCTATAATTACACTGATTTTGTGAGTACAACTTAGATTTAAAGATTTCTTTTACTGACTAACCTTACTTTATTCACCCAACTGGTTAGAATCTTTCAAACTGTCATTTAGCTTCTGCCTTCTCACTTCTTTTCTCTTTAGGGAACATAATTTTTCATTGTCTCAGCCTTAATGAAAATGCTCATTTCCATTTTTGCTTGAAATTTACAGCTCATTTGTGGTGGAAAGACAGCCTTGCATGCCAACTCACCCTCAGAGGCCGCTGGTCTTGAAGACTGGGGTACAATTCACCGTGAAGTTGAGGTAATGAAGAAAAGATGGAATCCCATACGCTGCTGGTCACACAATGACACCCTGATTTCTCTTTACAACACTGTTATACAGGGAACCTTAGTGGAATTAGAAGTAGCAGAAGTAATTTTGCAAAGATATTTAATATTTACAAAACCTAAAAGCATGTCTCATGTATTCATAATAGAAATACAGCAGTTATATATATAAATACACACACACACACTAATTTTTTTTCTACTTGTGCATGTAATGCAGGTTCACTATGAAAAAGAATTTGAAATTACAGAACTGCAGTATATAGCAACTGAAAGTTCCCAGCAGCCTCATCCCCTCTTAGCATAAACTTATAGTCTGAGCTTGATACAGCCCCCAAAACTGTATGTCCTGTGTGTGAATGTGGGTTTATGACATATGCATGGTGAGGAGGTTCATGGCTTTTATCACATTTCAAAGTTGCCTGCAACCTAAATAGTAACAACTTAGTCTATCCTCCTGGAATTTTGTCCATGTCTATACAAACATATAAAAACTCATTTGTATGTATGTATATGCATGTGTGCTTTTTCATACAGAGGAACACTCATGTATGCACACACAAATATATATGACATACAAGATTTCATTTTTAAAAGCTAGGGCCCTCTCTATAATGTTTTGCAGCCTGTTTTTCTCCTGTATAATAAATCAAAAAAATGCTTCCATGTGAGAACATGTGGTTTAACTTTACCCTGTTGGAGGGCATCATTCATTCAACCGTTCCTTTACTGAGAAGCACTGAGACTTGGAAGAGCCGTGCTTTCCTTCTGGGGTATTGGAGAAGTCGGGACCCAGAGGCTGCTTCCCTGGCTGCCAGTGTTACAGCCTCACAGAGAATCACCCACCAGGCCAAGGGCTCCCAGCTGGAAGGGGCTAGAAACCTAACCCCATCCACCTGTGCATCTGAGCAGAGCTGACCACGCGGGGTTTCCTTCCTGAGGTCTCTTGCTCGACAGAGTAGAGGCAGGCTTCTACCTTCCACACTGCCCTACAGCAATTATCCATGCAACCCTCACGTTCCTGGTGATGAGTGATAGTTTTTTTTCCCCCAGACAGCACAAATATTAGATACAAGTTTTACTAAAAAGTAGTTTGCTTTTTTTATCCTTGCAATTGGCCCAAAATAAACATTTTGATAGAATACAGTATTGACGAGGTTATAGAGGGAAGTAGATACCCTCACTAACTTTTGGTGGGAATATAAAATCAGTCCTGCTGTCCATCATAATTTAAGTTACATTTTTGCGGTGGCAGTTCGACAGCTAGGAATTTATCATACAAATATACTTTATAATTTATCATACAAATATACAAATAGACATACAGGATGTCGGTGCCTTTGATTGTAATAACCAAAACCTGGAGGTGGTTGGGGTTTCACTGACAGGGAATTAGAATATTAAATACATTATAATAGATTAGTTTTTAAAATAATCATGACTTTTATTTTTCTTTCCAGATTGTTGGTGAAATTGCAAGAACTGAATTATAATTTGAAAGTCAGAGTCTTATTTGATAAGTACGATATCTTTAATGTTATCTAAGATACATGTACTATTGAAATACTGGTTGTATTACCCAAATGCAAGCTGATGTACCAGGGCCATTTGAAAATGATTCTAGTAGATTTAAATCAATAGCTCCAGTTCTGGATATTGGAAGCTTCCTGTAAAGCATGGATCACACACCCGTGTCTTTTTTGGATTATAAATGAACAAATGAATGAGTATACTTCGTGCATCTGAACTAGTAATGATCATGTCTTGAAACAGCTGGTCATGGCATCCTGTCCTCCTCCCAGACCAGCCCCAGAGAAGGGGCCCTTGTTCAAACACAAACCTTCCTTCAGGCTGCTGGGTTGAGTTGTGGCCAGTTATTGCACTGTTTCTGGAGTGAAGTTGGCAGCATTTGGAGGAGCCTCTGTGGAGCCTGCTGGATTCATGCTTGTCCCTTCTGAGCAGTCGGGAGCCAGGGATATGCAGGACCTTCCTTGAGGGTCTCAGTAGAATAAACCCATCCCACTTTGCCCTTAGACCGTGAACTTGGACAAGCACTGACCTAGCCACATGTTATGTGACACATGACTTTTCACCCCAGCTTATATTTAAAGCTGTTATTTATAGAACATAACCTCTTCATCTCTTCTGCCCCTGTCACAATATTCCTCTTGCTCTCTGCCTTTGTCTTTCTGACTATCTTTGGTTTCTCTATGTATCAGTTAGCTCTTGCTGCATAATAAATACCCTCAAGCATACGGGCTCAAAACCCAAAAACATATTCATTCTCTGGTTCTGTGGGCTGTGGGTCATCCATCTGGTCTGAGCTAGTTTGGTGATTGCTAGGTGATCGAGCTTGGCCTTGTTCCATGTCTGAGGTCTTGGTTGAGATAATTGGGCTCCTCTCCCTGGGTCTCTCAAAGAGGCTAGCATGGACTTTCTCCAGGGGATGGCCTTCCAAGTGGGCAAGAGGAGCAGTGTTGCTAGGGCTATTGGAACTAATCTCGGAATTATACACTATCATTCCCATCCATTCTGTCAATAAAATCAAGTAAGCTACTAAGATATAAGGGACGGGGAAGGGAAGGCCCGCAAAGACTGTATGACTAACTGCAACTTACCACATTCTGTTTGAACTCAGTCTTCTAGTGCGTTCATGTTCCTTCCTCTTTTCTGGCTGTTCCAGCTCTGAGTTTTCTTCTCAGCTTTGACAAGCACCTTTGCTTCACACTCTTCCTCTTATTTTATTCCCTTTTGCTTTAAACCAAGGAAAATTGGTTACTCTCAGAATTCCTGGTGATTGTTTTTCACAAAAACAGCTAACTAAGATAGCAAAGGAAGCAAACTCATTTCACTGAGTGAGCTAATGATTTCTAATCTATACCTGTGCCACTAACCAATGCATTATTTTTCCAGAACATGACAAAGTAATCACTGAATTTATAAAAGATGTAAAGTCTCTCAAGATTTTAACTTCAGATTTAAAACTTAAACTTGCCATTCCCTCCGCCCCCCCCACCGCTCCCCAAATACGTGACTGTTCTAAAACTTTCATAAGGGCATTGAAGGTAACAGAGAATAAGAATAATGATTAAGCCATCACATTCAAGGGCCCTCTGAATTCTGTAACAGCAGGGGAGTACGCTCAGTTGACTCCAAATGCCTCCCACAACATGAGTAATTTAAGCAGCAGTAACTACCGCATACTATGTGCTCTTTTTACCCATTCGCTAGTTTACTCCTCACGATATCCTGTCAGGTTAGTCCCTTTCACATCTTATACAGTTGAGAAACTTGAGACCCAAATAATTTATTTGCCCAGAGGGTGCTCAGTAATACTTGGCAGAACCAGTGATGGTTGATGAAGCTGTGAGTGAAGGAACATAAAAAATCCACAGGTATAGATTTATTTTTTATTGATATTTTGCCTGTGCACATACTTTTGTATTTTTATTAAAACTCATTTTAAATATTTAATACACATGTATAATCATTTATCTTCATGTCTTTTTTTTTTTTTTTGGCAGAGATGTGAATGAGAGAAACACAGTAAAAGGGTAAGTGAAGTACTTTGCACCATATTTTTGCTCCCTTGCTTGATTGTTTAATAGTTCCAAGCCTTTTATTTCTACCCTGTATTGTCTAGATTTAGAAAGTTCAACATCTTGGGCACACACACCAAAGTGATGAACATGGAGGAGTCCACCAATGGAAGTCTGGCGGCAGAGTTTCGACACCTGGTAGGGAGACACTTTTCTCTTTTCATGCTGGGTGTGGTTTCGCCTCCTTTATTTATCTAGTGGCATTTGTGTGTGGCATGAAGGGCGCCCCCTAGAGGAATATTTTCTAGAGTTTACAGCTAGCGGCTTCACCAGCATTTTGGTTCCTCCTTTGATTTTTAGAAGGGGTCACTGTTTACTGCCATTTTCCCCCAGGGAGGCTTCCTTTGGAATGTAGTGATCTCAGTAAAATAGTGGAAATTAACCAGTGTGCACATAAATTATCTGCACTTGGTGCCTCCACAATTTCAGTGATGACTCACTCTAGACACTTCCTTTTTCCTGAGGGTTGTTATTGTTGCCACGTCCTGACTGGTTCTTCTCCTGCCATCCTGTATGGTGACTCCAGGAGTCTCTCCTTAGCCCCTTTCTTCATAATCTCACTGGTGGTCTTGCCCAACACCATGTCTCTCCTTTGTCAGGGCCCTTGGCACCAGCAACAGACATCCAACAGCAGATGCCCATAAGTGGGCAGCGCCTTCATCCCTGTCTCCCTGAAAACCAGGCCACCAGCTCTGATGTTAGTACTGAACCCTCCCCTCCCTCTGCCAGAGCCTGAGGCAGGGTCATGGGCCCTTTTCATGGATGACCCTCTCCCAGCAATCACTGCTAGGAAGCTATCCCTTGTGTGAGAGCCTCAGTCCAAACTCTGGGTTTCCAAAGCAGCTCTCTTGTTTCTAAGTTCCTTGTTGGAAGTCGCAGGGATTGCAGTCCTCTGTGGGCCATCTTAATTGGGCCAGGAGTCTTTGGGCCTGCCTGGAAGACTGCAGAGGGAAGGAGAAGGCAGGTGAAGTTGTGCCCTGAGCCTGGGGAGCATGGACCAGCTAATGAAGGTGATGGGGGATGATACAGGAGAAGTTTGCCCCAGAAAGGGGACAGAATGCCAATTCCTGGGATCCTTCGAGACTGTTGGTGTGATGTTTGGCTGCTAGGGAGAGACCCTCCTGCTCATGTACCCACTCCAGGGTCATTGTGTTAGGGGGAAAGGACTCGGGGCTGCCCTATAACAATTGCATCTCTTGTTTCGCATTCTGAAAATAATTTTACATTATTCTTTCCAAGTCTCGACTCTGGTTTAATTTGTAAATAAATGAAAATAGCTACTTTGATGATTATCGCACCATTTTGTAAAAACAGTTTCTTGTTTTATAGCAACTGAAAGAACAGAAAAATGCTGGCACCAGAACTAACGAGGTGAGTCTTTCTCTGGTGCGAATGGTCACTAACTAGTGGTCTGTTGGGTAAGGTTGGCTCCGTGCCCCTCCTCACAAAAAGGGGTTCAGATCCCAGTGAAGAGAGTAAATAAGCTTTGGTACTTAGTATATCTGTGATAACAATAAAAACTTCACTCTGCTTTATGTTATGGTTGTCAATGATTTTGTCATGAATATATTGCCTCCTCAGAGAGCCCAGTGAGTAGGCATGATTGATTGGGCATCTGAGTTATTCACATCACAGATCACAACATTGAATCTCAGAATGTTTTCAGGATTTAATTTAGGGAAGGGTCCCAGGGAATTACCATCAGAACAGGAACAGAGACCAGTTTAATGACAATAACAAAGCATGCCCGAGGGTTTTCTTGCCTTCTCTTCTCATTTCCTCCCCACTTCTGTATTGCCCACCACCTAATCTTTCCATCAGTTTCTTTTCTACAACCAGATCCTTGAAGACTTGTGTTTGTGATACAAATGAGTGATGGACAGAGGATTAAATGCCTGGCGTTGTTTGGTTTGGAGTGATTCCTCCTCTGTGCCAGTAGAGGTCGCGTGGAGCTGTGGGATGACAGTGGCCGAGGCCTTGCAAACACAGCCATGCTCTCGCCCCATCTCTGCCTTAATTATCTGTCACCTCCCAGAACTTGGTTTCCTCTCCTGTAAGTGAGGGTAGAGCTGCACTTTTCTGGTTCTAAGGTGTGATGGTCACATGAGACACTGTGTCTGAAAGCACTTTGAGAGCTCTAACATTTCTACCCAAACCAAGGCATTTTAGGACACGCCAGGCCTATGCAAATCTACCCTGTCAGGAGGCAATCACACCTGGAATATGGTGTGTGCACCTGTCACCTGCTCCCTGCCTTTGGTGTGCACCCCATGTCAGGTGGGGCTGAGAGGTGGCTGAAGGCCAGGACGCTTTAGGTCACAGATAAATTCATTAGAGTTATTTCCCTAGGGACATTTCTTTCTCTTAATCCAGAACCATTGCCTTAGGCCTTAATTCAGAAATTTTTTTTTATCTTATCTCTGAGAGAATGCCAAGATATCCGCAATCATTAGATCTGAGAGAGATTATTGAGAATTGGAGTTTTCTGGAATTGCAGCGGATGGTGTTTAGGCTCTCTGTAGCCTGTGATGGTACTTACTCCATTTTTGAAAATTGCAGAATCAGTAATTTACTGGTTATGTTTGTTCCTCCCCCACCCTTTTTCTCTTTGAAGGGCCCTCTCATTGTTACGGAAGAGCTCCACTCCCTTAGTTTTGAAACCCAGTTGTGCCAGCCTGGTTTAGTCATTGACCTCGAGGTAAGACTGACATGGTCCAGAGGTGGAAAGTATTTGTTTTTGCTTTTTAACTGTAACATGATTTTTATTCCTTAATTTTTGTTGGTCTTGGTAAAAAAACAAAAAACAAAAAACAAAACAAAACAAAACAAAAAAAAACCCTCGCTAATTGCTAAAAGATTATCTTTCTCAGAAAACCCTATTTTGACATTAGTTTAATGATTTAGAAAACTGTCGAACTGAATTAACCTTCAAATTCTTTAAGTTGAATGTTACAGTTGAGTTAGCCTGTTAATTTTTTATATGAAGCATTAAGACTGATTTCTTAACTGGAAGATAATTCCAAGAGAAATTAAACTATAAACAAAATAATATGTTCCTATTTTTAATTTTTGAGTGTAAGGCATAATCAAAATTGTAAATAATCCTTACATGTTTTTGAGGCTGCACATTCATTTGAAGTGATTCAGCTGATTTCAAGGTCTTTGTCATCTTTTAGACGACCTCTCTGCCCGTTGTGGTGATCTCCAATGTCAGCCAGCTCCCAAGTGGCTGGGCGTCCATCCTGTGGTACAACATGCTGGTGGCAGAACCCAGGGTAGGAGAAAACATGTGATTGGTACGAGGGGTTAAGCAAAGATGCCAGGCTCTGGTTTCTGCATATCTGAAATAGCTCCTAAGGGCCAGGTGTTGAGGGGAAAAGCAACATCACTTAAGTGGCATTGCTAAGGATCTTGACTGATTCTGGAAAAGTGAAAGTATGTGTATGTGTAGAAATGAGAATTATGATTTTCCTTCTATATGACTAAGCCCAGACAGTAGATGATTTCTTATAACTTATAGAGGAAAAGGTTCTTCATTTTTCATTCTTTTTTTGATGTATACGTTCACTAAATATACATGAATATGGATATTCACTCTGGGTTAATTATAGTCAAGTCTCATTTTCCACTGTACTTAGATCCTTTAAATTCGCTGTGACCACTGACTGAGTGAATGCTGAACCATTGCTTTCCAGGATGGAGAGGGGTGAATTCCTGTGAGCTTCTGGTCACAATCTTGTTGTCAAGCAGTCAATACATAATTCTGTTTATGAGTAGGTATTTTTAAAGACACGTTAGTATATTGTTGATTCATTAACATGGAACTGTACTACTGTGTGTTATATAACAAGGCTTACGTAACACACATTTTCTCTATAAGGTTCATCTTGCCCTTAGATACTTTGCCACTGCACTTGAGGTGGTTTAAACAGTGAAATCAACAGTAAATCACAAATGTGTAACACATGGTGCTATATATACCTCCATAAGAACATTTGTTTATCGGATAGGAGCTGAGACAAGAAACTAGAATATCATTTTATTTGCCCTCAACTGTAAATGGACCTATTGGATGACTCAAATTTTTTACTGCTCTATCATGGGTATATCTGTGAATGACTGCAAGAGGGTCTTGATGCAGGGTTTGGAGTTACAACCAAGTTTTAGAAAGTAGGCGAATTTTACAAAAGTGAACCTATATATTCAGAACACACTGTATTTTTCGTCAACTATGAAACTTCCATGTGTCACAGAAACTAGCAATAAACTTAGGACAGGTCTGTATGGGGGTGCTGGCTTGTGAATGAAGACTCTTGCTTAGCCCTTAGCTTTTTGATGTTTTCCCTCTAGAATCTATCCTTCTTCCTGAACCCACCTTGTGCACGGTGGGCTCAGCTGTCAGAGGTGCTGAGTTGGCAGTTTTCATCTGTCACCAAAAGAGGCCTCAACGCGGACCAGCTGAACATGCTGGGAGAGAAACTTCTCGGTATGAACGTATTAAACTTTTAAAAAAAATTTTTTTTTAAGAAGTGGGGTACAGGCCAGAGTTGCAGAGTCTTCACCAGAGAGAGCGGGGAGTAAAACAGGAGATGTATCGAAACACACTGCTGAGGGGAGCAGCAGGCAAGACAGGAGAGGTCTGCTGTGCCATGTGGGTTGCTCCTGGCCAGCCAGGGATTAAACTCGTGCCCCAAAGGCTGTGGACAGCCCCATAGCGCTGTGCTCGACCCCCTGCGCCACCAGGGAGGCCCTGAACATATTAAACTTTTACATATATATGTATGTGTGTGTATATATATATATCTATATATATATACACACACACATATACATAGAGAGAGACAGACATCAAAATTCATAAAAATATCTTTCCTTGCTCCTTTTCCCACTTTGCTTTCTATTTTTTTCAAGGCACTAGCATGTGAACGTCTGCTGGCTTTTCCAGCTGTGGCTAATGCTAGCTAAATGAGCATCATACCTCACCTGGGGCAGAGGACTTAAATTCTTTTCCCATGATCTTATATTAATATCTCTGAGCTGTGTTTCTAAGGGAAAGTTTTTGAATTATGTAAAATGTGTTACTTGTAGACAAAATAAATTCCTTGATGAGAAAGGTGAATCTTACTAACCTTGAGAAGAAAAACATCCAGTCCCTTGTGTGCTAAGAATAAGTTCCCATGCAGCCCCCAGCGCACAGCCGAGGCTCAGTCATGGCCCACCCAGGTAGACAGTGTCTGTCAGAAGGGCTCCTCTTGACCAGTAGCTCTGTCTGATGGCTGGGTTGCAGCCATGGTGGATAATTCCCTTTCAGTAACCAATGTTTTAGATTTATTTGTCTTCTACACAAAGCAAATCAAAGACCTCATAGTCTTGAGTCACATCTTCAGTGACTGGAAGTGTGTGGGCTATTTCTTTAAACACCCACGGCAACCTTTATCTGGATTTGCTTTCTGCACAGCAGAGCTGCGTACACTAATAGGATCTTCCTCATCAAATGGCTCTTAGAGCAGTGCCTTTTCTAGGCCATACCTCTCTCAGTGGGGTCTTAAAAAATTTAAAAATAAGTCATTTTCACGTCCTTATTTGGTGCAATTTAAGAAAGTATCTTTTCTGCCGACAGTGGCTTATTTGTTGTTCTCTTTGAAGAAAGATGATGGCTTAACACCCTCAGAGCCTGGGCTGCTTTAGTCTTGTAGCTAATCACCCCAAGCTCCCCCTCTTTCCTCTAACTTGGCTTTTGATATGCGACCACCTCCCTTCCTGTTTGGAGGAAGGCTGGGGGAAATGCCTCTAATATAAATGTGGAAAGCCAAATGTGAAAGAGATGCCTGTGGCTCACCTTGGCCTTAGTTTGAACCTCAAAAAAATAAGAGTGGGGAGGGGCGGGGAGAGGAAGGACTTGGGTCAAAATAAGGGGGAGGGGGGTGCAATTGTATGGGGAATATAACCAAAATGAAAATGAATGCATTGTGCAAAAATGAAAAATGTAAGAATTATATAAAATAAAATATTAAAAATATATAAATAAATAAAAGAAGAAAGCTCCATAGGGTCACCAGGAGAGGTCCTTGTTGAGGAAGTAGAAAGAGGCAGTGGGACGTGACATTGCATGGGGAGTGACCAAACTGAGGGCTTTCCAGGAAGAGCAAATAATTCAGAAAACTGTGTGAAATATGGTCTTCCTTTGTTGCTCTTGGCTCTTGGCGAACAAATACAAGACCCATCAGTTTAGGCAAAGCCTCAGAATCAATTTCTATTTCTTGAAAATGCTTGTTTTTATTTGTCAAGGTCCTAATGCTGGCCCCGATGGTCTGATTCCCTGGACGAGGTTCTGTAAGGTGGGTACTCCCTGGGGTTTAGACTCTGAGTTCTCTCGGATCTCTGTAAGCTTCTCGTATTTCTCCCTGAGGCAGTTACTTAACTGTGTGCTGACTTTGGCATGTTTGTCACCCACAGAACCCCTAGGCTATGTTGTTTACTTTTCTTCAAGTCTGAGTTTCCAAGTGGCTTTGACAGGAAGCACCTGCTCATGTGATAACATTCCTTTATATACGAAACAAGTCTTCTGTTTTTGCACACACTGGCCCCTGGCCTGGCAGCCCGCTAGCCCCTTCCATGTGAAATGCGTGCTCTGTGTTGATGACATGGTCAGCCTGGTGAGCAGATGAGCTCCTCTGAGCCTGCTGCCACAGAGGAACCAGTTGGAGGCAATAAGTAGACACCTTTAGGGTGTCTACACCCAGACAGTATTTACGCTACTGAATTTACTAGTGTGAGGGCAGCTTTGGTTCTGTGATTCACCCCGGAGGTCACTTCCTGACTGGTCTGCTACTATTTGGAGAGGGAAAACTATCCTGGCCTAGGAAGTAGAGAGCTTGGTGTCTGGATGCTGATAAGAGGGGAAGATTGGCTTTTTGGGATCAGTTCTAGCTTTGACAGCTGAGGAGGCTTTGCAAATTAAAATCTGATGGTGGGAGAAGTTATAGTAAGTCACCATTCTGTGTTTCTTTGTCCCAAAATGTGCATTTGTATGCTTGCAGGAAAATATAAATGATAAAAATTTTCCTTTCTGGCTTTGGATTGAAAGCATCCTTGAACTCATTAAGAAACACCTGCTCTCTCTCTGGAATGATGGGTAAGGGTCATTGTGGATGTATTTTTGAAATGTATTTTTAGCACATACTCCTTTACCATGTGAATAGACAGGTGTGATTTGGCATCTTACAGAAATGCTTGTCTCTTCAGGGCTCGCAATAGTGGAACCTCCTAAGATTACACTAAAGGTTTTATGGTGTATATCTATGTATATGTGTGTTTTCAGAGCTAAATTAAAAAGTGACATGAGTGCCAGTCATGCATTCATTTGTTTAACAAAAATTTCTTGAGCACTTACAGTATTGTCCAAGGAAGGAAGATAAAACCTTTAACTCAGAAAATTGTCCCTATCTAATTTATTCCCAGGGTCAGGTTATAGTTCAACAAAGATTTTAATTTAATCAGAAGTGCTCAAATGTGAAAATATATTTTCTGCCTTTTCCTTTCCAGTATTAAAGGTACATAAATTCAGACATTTTCATGGCCTTTAAAATCATCACATGAAAATAGAAACTCATGAATCCAGCAACTATTTGATTGTAACATCCTGTTAATGAATTGTATTTTTGGACTTCAGCTTACATATGAATAACTGAAATACTTCCTGAGGCATCACATCAATGAACTAGATTTTAAAGCATCTAAAATCGTCCATACATTTTTATCTGGTGTTCTTTTACCACATTCCACTCATCTTGATGTGTAAGTTAACTTGGAAATCTAAACCATAACCGAAACTCCGTGGGTCCCTTCCCCTGTGCAGGTGTATCGTGGGCTTTATCAGCAAGGAGCGGGAGCGCGCGCTGCTCAAGGACCAGCAGCCGGGAACCTTCCTGCTGCGCTTCAGCGAGAGCTGCCGGGAAGGGGCGATCACCTTCACGTGGGTGGAGCGCTCCCAGAACGGAGGGGGTAAGCCCGCTGCGCTGTGCGTCCCCCAATTCATGATGTGTGCGAGGCCTGTACCACGCAGATCTACTCAGACAGCAAATGAGCTTGTGACATAAAATCAAGGATCCTATAGCACCCCAGGGGAGCCTCCCAGAGAGCATTTACTACATCCACTAGAATATTTGTGTGCTGCTTGGAACATGTTGTGGAAATGATGGCTTTTAAAACACAAGGCCAAATTCTTTCCTTTTTGTCAGGCTTGTTATCTGCAGATGAAGGATGTGAGTCAGTGTGACCGGCAACCAGCTCTTGCCAGTTCTTGGGAGGAAACCCATTTTGTGCAGGGGTGGGTGCGCAAAACGTGCGTGATCCCATGCAAAGTGAAGATGAGGGTGGGCTTTGTGAGGGTGGGGTCCTGGGCACTGGGGCAGCCTCCACCCACCTTCAGATAGAGCAGTAGCAAGCTTATCTTTGTTGTATGTGGGTTCTATTTAACCAAATGAATCCATGGGTTCAGGATCCCCCAGGTCTTGGCATTACTATACAGGTTTCTGGGGAATGAGGCTGAACAGCAGAAATGGGAAAATAATCAAAACAACTGGTGACTTTTCACTGTTGCTTATAGTTTATGTGGGTGGAAGGACTAGAGCAAAAGCTGATTTGTTCCAGTGATTTCTATGCTTTCAGTCAAACAATGAAAAAAGATGGGTTACTTTTCTTGTTCTATTTATTCTTTTCTTCTGGTTAAAAAACAAACAGGAGAGCTGGGGTGAGCTGGTGTAGATAGTAGATGTTACAACCCGACCTTTTGATTTTCTTCTGCAAACTATCTGAGAGATGGGAGCTAGCAAACCTGGCAAAGGTTAAGAAAATCCTTGGAAACCAGAAAGTTCCAACAGTGCAGCAACAACTGCAAAACTTTAGGATGCCAAATCTTAGTCAAAAGTTGTAGAGCAGAATCGTCCGAGCAGCCTCTGGAATGTGTGCTTCCTAGGAAGCAGGATTTGAAATCTGGGAATAAAATGGGAGTGAATTTTTTTTGGGGGGGTGGGGTCTTGTGTAGTTGCTACTTTATTGCTTTTTAGATGGAAAGGGGTAAAGTCTATTACATTAAGGATGAGAGAAAAAGGACCTTTTTGGTCTCGAAAATTATTTTCCATGTATTGTCAATCCTTTCTCTAAATGAAACATTATATTTATCATATAAAAAGAAAAACAGAAAATGAGCTGGTTTTATTGCTAGCTTAATATATGGTCTGTTTTTACTAACTTAATATATGGTCTGAGCCAAGACGACCTAATTATCATTTACCTGGGACATCACTGAAGATGCAGGATTTAAAAGGTGTTTAACTTCTTTTGACCAGATTTACAAATCTGTGCAAATAATGGCAAATGCCATGTCATTGAGAGTAATGATTGCCTTTATTTTCCCTGTTTTTAAAAAACGATTATAACTTATTTAGAAATAGAGCAGTATGCTATGTATGTTATAACTCCAGGGCTGTGATTCGTTCTTACCAGGTTCTCTCAAATGCATAAAGGCTGCAATGTTCTGTTTCTCCCCTCTATTGTTTTGGGCTACTTCACAGACTCAGCTTTTCTTCTTTTCAGAGCCTTACTTCCATGCTGTTGAACCCTACACGAAGAAAGAACTGTCTGCTGTTACCTTCCCTGATATTATTCGCAATTACAAAGTCATGGCCGCTGAAAATATTCCAGAAAATCCTCTGAAGTTTCTGTATCCAAATATTGATAAAGACCATGCCTTTGGAAAGTATTACTCCAGGCCAAAGGAAGGTAAGTTGGGAGAGTGAGCAGTCCCTGCCCTGAGAGCCATAGCCCAGCTCTTTCCTAGTGACTGTTCTTCCTTCATCACTGTCCGCTTGCTGGAGAGGGGGTTCCAGCACAAGTCCTCCCTGGCCTTCCTATAAGTGCAGGAAGCCAGCACCAATCTCCCCAGTGTGTGCCATTAATCTGGCACGTTTTAATTGCTTAAAGTAGATTTTCCAAAGCTGGTATAAATACCAGGCAGTAGAATAGAAACAAAATGCATTGTTTTGCCTGACACAGCTATTAAGAAACTAGTCATTTATTGTTTGAAGGTGTTAGAAAGGCTTTTTTTTTTTTTGCTGGTGGGGGAGGGGGGAGGTCTTGTGTAGTTGCTACTGTATTGCTTTTCAGATGGAAAGGGGTAAAGTCAGGACTGCCAGGGCCCATTGATTTATGTGAGATCGCTCAGGTGGAAACTGAGGCTGAGGAGACATTAAGTGGTTCATTCAGGGTGACCCAGTTAACAGGTCATATTGTTACTAGTGAATATTGTTAGGAGTCCATCTAGATTAGAACACAGGTCTCCTGCATCTCAGTCTTCACTAACTTGCATTTAAGAGATTTCAAACCAGACTGATCTGGTTTGGAACATGCTGACAAAGTTCATTGCTTTTCAGAGTCAGGAATCTCAAAGTTAGCACAATTATTTGGGGGAAAAGATGCCTCCAGCTTACCTTACAGCAGTGTAAGTGGCACCAACCAAATTAGAACCCCAAAATCAATTAGAACTTTGCATGGTTGGGACTCCAGCTTCTAGAGGATTTCAAGTCTTGGAAAGAAAAATCTCTCAGTTCCATTTCTGTACTGAACTCTCCTCCCATTTCTACTAGTTGCTTTTGTATTCCCACCCAAATTTCAGGTGCCAGAGCAGGGAGGTCATAGAACCCCTTAAAGTAATAGACTCTAAGTTGTCAAGTAAAACAGTGAAATTTTGACAAAAAGAGAAAGTTGATGGCCATTTCTCGTGTGATTTCTGCTAATGGAAAGAATACTGATGTGTTTGCTTCTAGCACCAGAACCAATGGAACTTGATGGCCCTAAAGGAACTGGATACATCAAGACTGAATTGATTTCTGTGTCTGAAGTGTAAGTGAACACAGAAGAGTGCCATGTTTAAAAGCCTCTAGCCAGCCCATTCCTGGCTGGGGCTGTTGAAGATGCTCATACTTTGCTTTGTCTGTTGTAATTACTGCTACCTCCATCCCAGTTGGACCTGTTGGAAAGATCCTAACTAGAGATTGTGGTGTCACTGCCTATCAGCATTTTATTGCCTTTATAAAAACCCAAAAAACAAAACCCAAAACAAAGTTGTATTTAAGGTATATAAGTTCTCCCCAATCTCATATTTTGAAAAAGTATAAATAAAATGAACAAAAATTGATCGGAGTGGGAAAGTAGTTCTTTTTCAATATAGACAAGGCCAAAGTAAGAATTGAGATACATTTTTTCCACTTGCTTTTATTTTGTTGTTTCATTTTACAAAAGGTAGAAAAAAAATTGGAAAAGTCATTGTCAGTTATTTGGCCTGCAGCACTGACTTGGGGTGAATGGATGTAGCCTTCATGTAAAAACACTCTGGAGCAGCTTGATCTGCATACAAACCTCAAGGTAGGGATGAGGGACTCCCCAGACTTCCCTCCGGTGCTTCTCGTCCAGGCTAGCACTGAGGCTTTGTCATCTCGGTGACACACCGCAGCAGGCAGAAGCGGCCCAGGGTCCCATGTGGCTATTGCTCATCACGTCTTTGGAGTCTGACATGCTTCCCAAGGGCCGGGCTGGGGACACGAACCTCCTGTCTGTACTTTTTTCAAATGTATTTTCCAAGCGTACACACTGACATGAAATTAAAAATCTAAGGAATGATGCAATCACAGGCCAGAGATGAAATGTCTAAGTTTCAGAATCCAGATGTTAACATGCCCTTTTCCTCTCTCCCATTTTAGTCACCCTTCTCGACTTCAGACCACAGACAACCTTCTCCCCATGTCTCCCGAGGAGTTTGACGAGGTGTCCCGGATAGTGGGCCCTGTAGCAATCGATAGTATGGTGAGTACTATGTGTGTGTGGGGGGGAGGGGGAATGTGTCCCAGCGGTCCTGTGTGTGTTCTCTGATGCACAGAGGGCTCCCTGGTGGATGTTGGTGGGGGGCTAATGGGGAGGGATAGGGGACCAACTGTATGATCGGGGAAGGGGCTTGGGCAGAGCCTGGAGGGGTGGTTTTAGATTAGCCTGTGACAAGTTGGCACCTACTGAACACAAACAGGCTGTGTCATCACCAGGGTTTTTATTCCAGGCACTCAGCACTTACAAAAAAATTATGTGACATTTCAAATATTTAGAATACTGCATCTCTTCTCATCTCTTCTTTGAAGTTGTCCCTGTAGAAATTTCACATATTACAGCATTAAGATTTCTGTGATTTAAAAAAATGCTTTCCTTTGGCTTGTTACTCCAGCACTATGTCTGGGGGAAGGAGTGTTATTTTTAGGAAGACAGGGGACTAATATTTGGTAGTTACAATAATTGTGGACATGTAGCTGGCAGCACTGGAGCAGTTTCACCCACTTCCTGTTGGAGAGCTAATTTGTAGTGGGGGCCCCTGGAGCTGTAAAGGGCTTGCCAAAAGTAAAGGTTCCAGGAATGAAGCAGTTAATGAGTATTAAGAAAGGGATAGGAATAGGGTTGTCCGCAAGAGAAAACCTTCTTTTGGTTGAATGTTCAGTATGTCGAATTGTATTGTTTACCTGTCAGCTTGAAATCCTTCCTCTTAAAGATTTTTTTTTTCAGTTGACTGGTTTTTTGCTGATACTGTTTAATTTTAAGCGCTTTTCCACATGAAGCTATTCCAGTTCATGCTTTAAAAAAAAAAAAAAACCCTCTCTGAGTCATCCCTGGCCTTTCTTCATCTTGGTGCCGGGTTCCTGGCATGACTCTGAGCTCAGCTCTGAGGGGGGAAGCAGGGAAGGTGGGGTATTGGTGGTGGGGGGTGGGGGAGGGAAGAGAAGACTGCAAACATTCAGTGGCCTATAGTCCTCATTTCAGAGGACTATAAGGGTTCTTATATTGCATTAATAATATCTGCGTAGTCAAGATTCTGGTGTGTAAATTTTTTTCTTCATCTTTTTCTCACCTAAAGAAGCATACCGAGGTCTTTGGAGACTGAACTTTTTGTACTCTCTGACTTGAGAATGAAAAAAGTCACTTAGAAAAATGCTTAGATAGTGTAGCATCAAAATAGTTCTGTTCCTATTAACAAGTGTACAATGAACCTTTTCTATGTAGAAGGTCACTTCCTCAGTTAGAATGAGTGCCCGATTCTGCTATAATGTGCCTTAGAAAGCCCTACACAAAATGGAATATTTGTAAAGCCCTATTCAGAGATTGTAAGATGGAACCCAAAAATAAGGTAATCTTTTGTACCTCCTTTGTTGTGCCTGAGCAAGTTACATCATCATAGTAATCACCCATCACCCATGAATAGGCGACATTTATTAAGCACTTACTGTGTACCCGCAACTTCACATGTAATGACTAATTCAGTCTTTCCAACAACTGTCTGAATTAGGTATTCTTAATTATTCCCTTTTACGGATGTGGGCAAAGATCCCCTCCCCGACCCCCACCCCCATGCCCCATAACATAACTCAGATTAAGCAGTTAGTAAATGGTGGAATGGACATTTGAATTCCACTGGTGTCTCTGGAGGACATGCCCTTGTCATTGTTCTGAAGGCGTGCCATGAAAAGCTGATCCTTGCTTCATTTAAAACATACTCCCTAAAGAAGCTGTTTGCACAGGACTGAGTTATGTTTTATTCTGATTTATTAAGACAAAGGCACTGTGGCCTTTGGATAAGAGACCTGTGTTTGGAAATTCTAACTCTGTCATCACCATCATTGCCTGTGACCTTGAGAAAATAAGATGGATTAGCTCTCTTCATCTGTGCAAGCAATTTTGACTGCTTTTTCTGCATCTCAGAATGCTACTGTGAGAGCAATTTAAATAGAGGCCAAGAAATGGTTTTGTGGTCTCTCTATACCACCCTGTACCCCAGCCCCTATAGCCATTCCATTCTAGATGATTTCCTTCATTTCATTTGTAGAATAAAATAAACCTATTTTGCACTCTCCAGTAAACCCATAGGAGATATATTCAGCTAAAAACAGCTATAATGTGGGCACCACACTGGTTAGACAAAATTAAAGTTGGATTAGTCTGCAGATTGGGTGGAACTGCCTTATCTGTCTCGGATTAGCTGATTTCCTCTCAGCATCCATTCTGGGAACCAGGGCATCTGCTCTGAAACAGAACGAGCGCTTCTTGAGCTGGCTGGCTTCCCTCATCTGGAGGTTGTGGCTCTGACTAGGGTGGCACCATGACTGATGCCAAGGGCTGCCTCCAGAACAGAGGACTGAAGGCCCCTGAGGAAACTGTCCGACAGACACACAGCACCAGTGTTTTCTGCAGCATGACTTGAATATTTGTTTAGTCTGGATTTCTTGGACGGTCGACCTGTCCTGTGGGATGATGTGAGAACCAGTCTACTCTCCTGGAGGCCTTTGGTCAAAGCTGATGATGGTAATAATAGTAATATTGTCTGCTATTTTTCATCAGCTATACAAGGCATTTTACAAATGCTATCTAATTTAATCCTTTCAATAAATCTACCTCCTAGGAACTCTTAACCTCCTTTGCCAAGATTAGGACCTTGAGATTTTGAGAGAGTAACAGGCTGAGGTCACGCATTTAAGTAGGAGATGGTGATAAGGATGTGAATGCAGGATCTCTGGTGCTCGCTCTCTCTCCCCACCTCCCTCATCCCCCGCCAACCCCAGTCTACCATCTTAACTACACAGTTTCACTTTCAGCCTTCATTGTACTTTTACAGCTTTGCTGTAAACCCTTCATTGTACTTTTTGATCCAAAATAATTTTCCAAAGAGCCCACTATTGAGCACTTGGGATTCAAAATAAACAAAAATGGACTGACTTCTCAAGAGACTTCTAGTCTAGTGCTGTAGTCTTTAGAGCCAGATGTCTCTCTGTGGGAGGCTGTCCTATGCAATGTGGAATGTGAGCAGCAGCCAGGCCGCTATCCACTGGATGCCAGTTGTATACACCCCCTCATCACACAGTCAGTGTGTCTTCACACATCACAGCGGGCGGAGTCATCCCCATCACCCCTTAAGAGCAGCTATCCTAAGGGGAGAAGTGAGGTAGGCCTGGAAGTGAGTCAGAGGCAGGCTGGTATTCTCTGGATGACCAATTCACTGCCCACAAGATGCCCTACACAAGGTGGCTGGTCAGGAGGCACTGCTGGGAGGGGTGCACCAGGGGTCCCCAGTGATTCTGCTGCCCTAGCCTGTACCTGAAACACAGCCGTTCACAGGGTTCCTCTGAGCTCTCTAAGCAACATTCACCATCTCCCTCACCCCCCTCCCAGGCGAAGCTCAGCATTGCCTCACCCTTATTTTGCATGAGCAGACTTGTGTTGCTCTGCTTCCAGACTTGCTCAACAGCAAAAGGCTTTATGCAGCCTGAATGAATTCAGAGAATTAAGCCAGCAGGCTGCAGAGTAATAGTCCATGAGCGAAGTGATAGACAGTCTAGTCTAAATGAAAGGAACACCGCACGCTGAAGGCCCTCTAATTCCACACTGGTTATTTGGTGTCGCCTGTGTCTTCCACCTGCTCCACTGTAGAACAGTCAAATAATGTGAAATATATGAATCTACATTTTGTAAGATCAGTGCAATAAACTTAACCACATTTTATCTTTTTACAGATGAATGCAGTATAGAGCATGAATTTTTCTCATCTTCTCTGGCGACATTTTTCCTTCCCATCTGTGGTTTCCTCCTGCTACTCTTCCTTCACATCCTATGTTTCTAGGGAAATGAAAGAAAGGCCAACAAATTTGCTGCCACCTGTGACTTTTCCCTAATTCAGAAACAGCTGTTACTCTGAAGGGCTTCATGCATCTTGTTAAAGGTAAAACTGAAATGCCCTCTCCACAAAACGGTTTTGGCAAATGAAAACCATCTAGACACCCAAGCATCAGAACTAGAATAAGAGCTCTTGGGGAAAGCGGAGAAGCTTAACAGCATGTTAAAAAAATGCTGAGCATCGAGTCAGGCCCCAGCTCTCTCAGGGTGTTGCATAGATCACACGGTTATTTGGAGAAATGCTTGATGTATGAACGGCAGATTTCTGTTCTGGAGAATTCTTATTTGTTTCCTCTGCTTTATATGTGGCTGGACGTTTTCCATTGGCTTGTCTGTGAGATCGTTTAACCTAAGTTTATATAGAATTACATCATCCCTTATCCACATTAGCCATCCTGCATCTGGGCAGGGGTAAAGGTTGTGTTCCTTCTTACATTTTCCACACTGGCCATTTAAAGCGAAGACAAGTTCTCTCTTACTTGGGAGAATTAGCTTTTCTGCTTATTTTGGCTTTATGATACTAGCTAATATCAGTAGAAAGACGAGCATTTTCCAAATTCATGGGTAGTGTTTTCTGTTTAAACTTTAATATCCAGAGCTGAATATATTCTGCCTTCCCCTAATAAGTAAAACTGTCTTCACATTTCTCTAGGGAGGCAGGGGATTAAGAATTGCTCTCTCAAGGCCAAAAAGATTAACGTTAATCTTAGGTGTAGAAAAACTCAGAAATTTCATTCATGTTTTTTTGTGTGTTAATTTGTTTTTATTGTTATTGTCTGATATTTAATCTATTAGTCATAAAAATTTCAAATTGAGAAGAAAAAAACAGTGGCTGGTAAATCAACCAGAAATATGAGACTCAAATAATTTGAAAATTCATCCTGTGTAATTGCATTAAGTATTGCCTGTTTTTCACTGATAAATGTGTTTTTCTGAAAAATACATTGGCAAATGGTTCATCTTTCTGGTGCTTTTTCTAGACCTTCCTTGACATTTTGTGAAGTGGACTGTTACTGATCTTCCCGTTCATTAGCATTGACACAAAAAAAAGTAGTTTAGGTGGTGGGTTTGAAAGGATACTTTTATTTTATAAAAACCTTATTTTTCTCTGGTGGGAGTAAAGTTTTCTTGAAGCCTGTTTTAAGTAAAGGTATTGCATTAAATAGAATATACACATGGGACTTTTCTTGATACTGAACACAAATTAAGGCTTCCTCTCCATTGTTACATATGATGACATGAACCTGACTAGGTTTGCATTAACTTTTGACATTGAAATGATGAAGGAACAAAGGAGACAGCATTTTAAAAAATCTTATGTGTTTTAAAAAATCTTACGTGTAATTGCTGGTATTTACCTACTAGGTATCTTTTTGCCCTTTGAGAATGATGTGGTGTGGCTTCATCTTACTGGACTAGCCACGGGATTTTGTTTACTTTTAAGAAGTATTAAAATCCCAATGTTGGTCTCTTATTAATAGCATTTCATGTAAAGATGTTAGAAATTACCACCATTATGTATAGGCCTGATGTTCTTCATTTTTTCTTATATGTGATTGAAAATAAAAATGTAGCAGTCCTTATCTTAAAGTAATTTTAATGACACTGTTTCCCTTTCTTACCCTGCTTGTAAGCAAGAGTGCTATGGCAGATGAAGATGGGTTAGTTGAAGAGATCACAAAGGAAACATGACTGGAACAAGCTGTAATGGGTCCCATAAAAAGCAAACCAAAAAACCAAAACAAAAAGTACTTTGATCTTGGTGACCACAGCTGCCTCCTAGTGCACAAATAATTTGGCACTGACTATACAATGAATTTGGGGCCTGATAATGTAAGTTTCTAATTTAAAAATTCATGTAAAAGGGGCTCTGTCTGGCCTCCAGAGTAGCCATCTGAAACTACATGTCCATGATTAGATGAGTTGTTACTGAAGTCACTACACCATCCTGAGAGGTGCCAGTTCTTCTGCAAAAGTGTTAAAAGCTAGAAAGCCACAGTAAAGTAAAGGGCCCCATGAGCTGGAAAAAAAATAGGACTAGTAAACACATAATCGCCAAGTTAGATGTAATCTGGCAAGTTAGATTCAACTGTTGTTTGGCGATTCATCAAGGAGTGGCAATGTCCCAGTGTGATCAGCCGCACCTCTGCAATCGCAGGATGTCCATCTCGGAAATATCAAACTTCTGTGTATCATATACACTGAGAGCTGTTTTCTCCAGGGAGAAAGGTAGATAATGCCCTGGGTAGGTGCGTATCTTATGTAATTGTCCTTATAAGAAGTGACTAAATAGATACTGCCCTAGGGATGTTTGTGTTTCAGCAGAATTCTAATATCATATTTATAGGGTGTTTTATATGCCTAGAGCTTGTATGTACCACTTGGGACAATTTTGTCCTTATTAAGGAGTTTTGATAGTCATTAAATGAACAAAATCTATTTATTGTCTATAAGCTAAAGTGGAATATGATGGTAAATCTTAATGAACAAAGCACTCCTTTCTCATCTGACTGTATTAAGGGAAACAAGAAAAAATTAGAAATTGCATTGAAAATGCTCTACCTCTCTTTAGAAGTGAGGTGCTGTTCATAGAGTAAGGGGTACTTACTTGGGTGACTCCTTTTGGTTAGATTAATTCATTATTTCATAAGAAAAATGTTGAGCACTAGCCATAAGCCAGGCACTACTCTTAATGTTTAAGAGATTCCTGTTCTGTGGAATTTAAGATATTCTGAGATATTGGATCATATGTTTTAGTACAATCGCCTTACTCATTAAAACTTAGGACTTTGTGAGGCAAACATAACCAAAAGCTACAAGTAATTTATGTTATATAAAAATGTACACAATTTCAAAGAAATGCCATTTAAAGCCATTTTAGGAAGGCTAAAGATAATATATTTTTAGACCCATTTGAGTTAATAATGTAGCTCTTAAATGATACCTGCTTCCAAGTTTTGGTGAATTAACTTCAGGTTCTGTTTGTTAGAATGAGAAATTAAACATCTTACTTGGCCAATTGGTAAAAAGAACCATACCTAAGCAGCTTTAAAGTTATTTATTAAATCTCTATTGGCCATACACAGAACGTAAAGGTGTAACCATCAAGTAGAAATCTGTCAAACACTTATTATCAAACTGAAAATTCTGGGTTTCATAATGCTTTTATTCCACTTTAGGCCCTACTGCTGGTGTCTCTTCACTAGCTTTTCCCCGTTCTGGTACAGGAATGAAGCAGTCTTGATATTCTGTGGCTATTATGTTGCTTGTTGGACTAAATTTCTATTAGACTCTTTCTCGACTATGTGGCAAGACAATGATGGACAAAGCTGGGCACATGAAGGACAGGAGTCAGGTTCTGGCAGAACAGAAATAGAATGCCAGGCTTACCCCTTTTAAATAACTGCCATAATTTTCTGACCTTTTGCATCCCAAAACATACATACCTTCCTTGCTCTGCTAGAGAATCACACCCTCCCTTTATATAGCTATGAAATGCCCTTCCCCCTAAAGCCTTCAAGTGTCATGTAACACATTCATGGGCTGCCTGCTGTGCCATCTGGTCTGAGATTCATGACTTTACTCATTTTACTATGAGGTTTAGCAAGCGAGATTAGGATCCCTAATCCTAGCCCCTAAAAAAGTACCACAAAAGTAAAATGATTGTGTTGGCTCAAGAATAATTAAGTTTTGGGCCTCCCCGGTGGTGCAGCAGTTGAGCGCTGGGTTGCGAAGCTGCCCGCGGCCTCTGTGGCGCCGGTTCAATCCCCGGCTGCTCCCCAGCCACCAGAAGAGGGTCCCACATGGCGCGCAGACCTCTCCTGCCGCCCGCTGCTCCCCTCAGCAGTGTACTTTGGTCCTTCTGCCTGCTCTGCTCCCTACTCTGGCTCTGGTGAATTCTCTCACCCTCCTGCGCTTCTGACTGTACCCAGTGCATGTATAAACAAAACAAACAAACAAACAAACAAATAAAACATGCCTCTATTAAAAAAAATTAAAATAAAATAAATAAATAAATAAATAAATAAATAAAAAGAATAATTAAGTTTTTCCCCATTTGGGATTATTCTTCCATTTGTTTCTCTATACTTGAGTCATGCTTCTATCTGCATATGCATACCTCAAGTTAACCATATTACAGGACTTAACACTGGCGCATTTACGCTTCTCCTTAAACCCCCCGAGGCCAGGTTTTAGCTAACATGCAAGCAGCTAGATAGTCTATCCCTAGTGTGTGGGATGTTAAGGCATGAAAACAGGACTAAAGAGTTCTGTATCCCAGCCCACTCTGGGATCTCAGCTTCATCTTTGAAAGAGTGGAATTAGAGATTTGAGTCCCATCACAAATTATTTTTGACCAACAGCTTTAATAACTGAAAATGGACAGCCATGGTGTTCATGTACCTTCACAATGATTAGAAAATCATACACTAACCCTGACCCTGCAGGCCATGGCGTACTGATGTTGGAAACTAATGCCATTTAACACCCATGAATTAGTGAGAAGCTGCCATTTTTCCAACTGGTCCAATTCAGACCTTAATGTGGCAGCACTAGGTTCAACTCTCCAAATAGACTTGAAGCCTTTTTGAAAACCACCTCTCTTATTAAAGGAGGCTAGAACCCTTCCTAGTGAGGATATATTTAATGAGTCAAATCAGATATTTACTGAGCACTTCCTAACTGTAAAAGGGTAGTGTGAAATTCCAGGGGACTAGAAATGTACGGCCCATCCTCTCTCCTTAGATTCTCATCTTAATGACTGTGGTAACCCCAGCTGACCTCTTGCATAGTTCCTGGCTTACAGTAGACATTAGAAATGGATTTGAGCCAACTAGACAGTCCCTGTTCTTCCAACCCAGAAATGTAAGGGAAAAAAAGCCTTAGTTGTTTTTAAAGAATTCATTTTCACAGGTTTTTTGGATACATGTATTTTATTACACTGTAAAAAGCAACACTACCTGATTTCATCTAAAATAAATATTTCCCAATCAGAATACTTACAACTTATAGTTTTAAGATTAGATTCACAAGGGGAGGTTCTGGAAGCAAATACATTCATAGCTGGACAATCCCCAGGAAGAATCTTTATCTCACATCAGGTCATTCGGTCCCTGCCAGACAGACAACTGCATCAGGCAGCAGTTAGCTAATTCAAGCTCTGCAGCTAAGGGGCAGTGGGTGCAGATTATACCCCAAAATGAGACCATTAGAACTCAGACCAGCAAAAACAACAGTGAATGCAAAGCTTTAAAAAAAAATGGCCATATACAGTTCTCATGATACAGAAAAAGTCCATGATCCTAATGCCAAATCAAAAATATCTTTGGAGCATAATGATGGCAGGAGTTAACAGCATGATCAACAAGCATTTAAACCAAATGCACTTATTACCAGCGAACAGCAAACAGCCATAGCAGGAACCCGTGTATAGTCATAAATAACCTCACAGGTAAATAAGAGCACATTTAACTGAACCACTGGATTTTTACAAAAGTTTTAATCTGAGAAAAGATGAAAACTCTTTTTGTTCCCAAATAATAGTACCTCTTTTTATTATCGAAAAGCCTCAAAACCATTGGTAACTTTGAAGTCACACAACAGAACCATCATCGTTTCATTTCAATCATACAAAGGAAGCTGCTCTTTGAGCAGTCACCTTAACAGATTTCAATTAAAGAGTCTTTACCCCATAATATCTTTGGGGATAACGCTGTTCCTGTGCAGCATTTTGCAAATACTACCTGTCTACCTGGCTTGAGAAGAGCCTTGGGGCCAGCTGCCCACCCACCGTGTTCCCCACAGAGGCACACACCTATAAACAGCTTCCTGCCTGATGTAGCTGAGTTGAGGAACACTGGCAATGGTTCCACCAAAGGAGGTGCAGTCTCAGTAAAGGCTGATGACTCAAGCCAGTAACTTAGCTTGGAAGCAAAAATCTAAACACCTGGAGGCTGCCAGATTGGGAGAGGAGCCATCAAGCTTAATAAAGCTCAGAAGCAACAGGGTGTGCAGGTAGAAAAAGCAAGGAATTTGTTACATTAACGTCACAACCAGCATTGGTGCAGTTGAGGATTTTGCTGGTTTCACCAAGTACAGCTTCAGAGACGTCCATTTGTGTGTGTGTGCGCGTGTGCGTGTGTGCTTAACGATCAGAAATCCTTGTTAGCATACCCATTTACCTCCTGAGGTAATAGGATAAAGTGTGTGTGCAGTTCGTCCCCAGACAAGTCATGGGTCTCGATTTAAAATGAAGTGGCCTTTTCTTACTAGTAAACTACAGAGTCCACGAAAAATCATACAATAGAGAACGAGGAGAAAGCTGGGGTGATCTAGTGGTCCCCCAAATAGAACAAATACCTTGATGCAGATTTTAACGGCAGGTTTATATACAGCTGTTGTTTGGAGCAGTCCCAGATCATCGTGACAACTTTGGTAGCTTAGAGCACTTCTGAATTTATCTTTATCTTTATCTTAGAAGCTGAAACTATCTTAAAGAGCTACAGTAGCACACCCCTTCCTTTTTTTAGGCTGATGAATTAACTAATTTGTCCTTAGCTGAGTAATTTGTCTCTGGTTCATCTTCTACAGACAAATGGCATAGTTATAGCTGGGATGTCAGAAATATGAGGCTTTTTCTGACTTACTGTGGAAAACATGAAAACTGCATAGTATGCCAGCACCCGCTTCCCCAGCTAGAGGAAAGAGGCAAATAGCTAAATGTCTGGAAAGAGAGGCTGGACGAAGGGGATATAGAAAAAGGAAATTTTTTTCAAAAGTATTGTAACTACATTCACACACGTGTTTTGGTCATCAAACATATCTTAAACAGATTCCCTGATAAAGTCTAATCAGAATTGGTCTATCCTACTGACAGTTGTTAACTATGATAATCTTTAAAGAGTCACATCATTGGAGTGAGGGCTATGGGAGACATTTTAAACACGCAACCATGAGTGGATATAGTTGTTCAAACACTCAAACTAAATCTATATTTGAAGTCAGGAAGCTCACACTGTTTTGCTTCTAAAGGCAGCCTTGACCTGTCTGGACAGACTACACAACAGAGCTTAATTTATAAGTGCATATCAGCAGATCACCACCATAAATTGAAAATCCACAAAACACACAAAAGTAAGTCATGAAGACCACACAGTTAAGCTAGCATTGGTAACTATTTCTTTTACATCGAATTATACAGAGCACGAGGTAAATATTGCTCACATTATGGAGGGGGATTGTTTTATTTCTATTTTTTCCCAAAGTG